TTTTAATAATGAAATCCCTTATAAAATTTTGAAAAAATTTGAAAATTTTTTTTTTCTGCAGGAGTTGCCTAGATCGATTCGCCTGTTGATGCTGATCAAGAATATATATAATTTATAGGGTCGGAAATGATTTCTTCAATGCATTAGAAGCTTCTGACTAAAATTAGAATACCCTGAAAGGGTCTACAAATTCATAATATATCTACAAATAAATTATTATTATTATTAAATTATATTATATTATTTAAAATATTATTTTTATCTTTATTTTTATTTTAAATACCCCTACACATATTACATGAGATTCCCAGCCAAGTAAACTGCCATGCTGCGACCTTGCACCCCTTTTGTGTTGCCTTGACTTTGCCCTTGACTTGGCTTGACTGCAGCTTTTGGGCCGCCTAATGGCTTCCGGCGCTGCCAGGCCATCTCGGCTTAGCTTCGTGGCCAACAAGAAGTTAACTCGGCTTTGTGCGTCAGCCTCCTTTAAGCAGGAAAGCATATGTACATAATTATGGCCACTTGCCACCGGCAGCGCCCAAAAATAGGCAGCACCTAAGCACAAAGTAGCACAATCGGAAAGAATGCCAGGTGCGGATGCGGATACGGATACGTATCTGTATCTGTATCTGTATCTACAAAGGGGTTGGTTTGGGTTGGCGGCAGTTGGCTGATAAGCGGACCTTCGGCAGCTTTTAACGATTGCGTAACTGACAAGGCACCTCTAGGAGGGGGGCAGGCAGCCCAGACTTTGGCTTTTAGGGACAATAATGTAAATAACGAAATTCAAATGAAAGTGAAATTGGTAATGAAACAAAGGGAATGACAACAAGACCAGTAGTATAATCAGCAATTGGCCATATCTATCTAGTTCACTGACTTGGATATTGACACTAGGCAAAGATAAAGATTTTGCCAACACAAATATCAAAATCAAAGTCATTATAAAAGTAATCTCTTCAAGGCTTTGTTTATCTAGTTAACTTTTAGTTTTGAATTACATCAAGTTGGTGGAAAATAATATTTACAAAAGATACACTAAAAAGAGGCACTGAGAATTTTCATAAATTTATCTAGATTCGATTAAGTGTTAAATATTATCAATTCTATTAAATAATATTAAAATTGTAATATATCGCCTGGAATATTACATTTAAAAATATTTGAAAATTTTATTTACATTTCTTAACACCTCTGTTTTTATTATAGAGTATCTAAAAAATATGAATTTGCAAGGGTATCTCAAGGACGAGATCAAATGACTTTTGGAAACAATAGAAAATAAGTTTTTTCTTAAATTTTAAGTTTTTTTTTGAAAGTTTTTGGTTGGTTGGTTGGTTTTTTAGAAACGTTTTTGGCAAATTTTTGAAGGTGTTCGAAGATAGGGTCTTAACTGAGGATTAAAAAGAGGTTTTGGCTTGGTTTTGAAGTCGGTTTTAGAAAGAATAAGTTCATATTTAGAGTTGAGTGCCTTTATGGATTTATTACTATGAGCATATGAAATTTTTCTAGGAGTTGAAAGTATCTAAAAATGTCTGACATGGTTGGGCACCAATCTTCAAGGTCGGAGCCTTGACCAACCTTGACTGAATGCCATACAAAAAAAGGGAGTAAAGCAAAAGGTAAAGCTTCACCGATATGTTTCTAAAGATATTGACTTTTAGAATCCTTAAAGCTTGATTTTTGTAAATAAAATGAAGTGCTGATTATGTTTTTATTGCAAATAATTATTTAAGGCTTGGATTTTTGGAAGCTTACTTGCTCTGTATGGTTTAGATATTTCCCTGAATATTTTATAAATCTTTTTCGAATTGTTTTCCATATTTTTAGGGGGGTTTGTTTACGGCAAGTGTACCCCCCGCTATCCTATGTGGAGAGGGTTTGTCACAGTGGCATTGTTTTTGATGTTGCAACTTTTTTGGACTTGGCTTAGTGTGTCTGGCCGATTGGGGGAACAGCTGTTCGGTTGCACTAGCACCCACGCACATGCATATCATCCACACACAAACACACAGTCAAACAGTCACACAATCACCCATTCATACACACAGACACACACACATGGGAAACCATTCGCCGGCCCGTAATTAACCGTTATTTGGCCTGCGCATGCGTCCTCTTTCACACACTAATTTCACATGAAAAAAACCTCGGTTCAAGCTGAAAAGTATAAAAAAAATATATAAAAAATAAAAGAAAAACGCGCACACACACACGCACGGACGAATGGCATCACATGCAATTTGTTTGCGCCGTCATTTAGCACAGCGTCGTCGATATATGATATATGGAAATATAATTCGGATAATCACCACTAATAATGCAAATCGAACGAACCAGGGGGTAAAAAATAAAAATAAATAAATAAATAAGGAGAGCAGCGGCAGGGCAGAGGCGATAACTCACCGTTGGCGTGAATATGATTTGTGTTGTTTGGTTGGACATGCTGATACATGACTTGCTACAGTGCGCCAATGTCGTCACTTTCATGTCACTTTAACACTGAGAGAGAATGAAAGCGTCGGCCCCAAGCTCTGCGTATTTATAAGGCGCCGGGGAATCGGTATCGAAATCGAAATGGTTATCGCAATCGGACTTTCTGTGGGTGTCTCTTTCGCACTCTGCAGTCGCTGCTCTCTGCCGCTGCCGCTGCTCTGTCGCGGTCGCAGCCGGCTTTTTCCCAGTATTTTTTATAATTTTTTTTCGCTGTTCTGTCCTTTTGCGCAGAGCTTTCCACAGGCAGAGCTAAGCCGGCGGCGAGCAGAATAAGAGCAATGGGAGAGAGAGTGAGGATGGGAGAAAGCCAAAGGAGAGCTTAGGGAGTGAGAGAGCATGGGAGACACAAAGATGGTGGACAGGAAGTGAGGCTTGTGACGTATGCATGTACAATGGCACCCACAGAATATGGGCTTAAAGCAGACCCAAGGATTACGTTACCAAAGAAAATCTTAATATATCCTCAAGGACGAAGAGGAGTCGAAAAACACAACAGACAAATTTTCCATGATTTTCTATGTTGATCATAAGTTTAGGATTGGTTTTTGTTTATAAGGATCCCACGTTGAAGAGAAATGTGTCCAGCCGTGTCCTTTAACGGAAATGATAAACAAAATCGCTTGAAAGCGATTACACCACATTGTTTATATTTAATATTTTGTATTTAATTATTTTACTTTTTAGAATATTTCAAGTAAATATATAACTTTTCAATTTCATCATTTTAAAACTAAAAAATTGGGGAAAAATAAACTTAGGCAAATCATTACATAATCATTGAATGTATTGCATAAACCAGGACCATAGATATCCTATGTTTATAAGGATCTATAACAACAAGGAAAGAATTCAATTCAAGGAAATATAACTTATAGAATTCCTCAATTCCGTTTGAATTAACTAAAGTTGTAGGTCTTTCTCTTTATCTATAAAAATATAATGTATAAGAAATGATAATAATACCTGAAAATAATATAGCTGAGAACATCTGCTATACACTTAGCAAATGAAGCTTTGGTTTTCCAATATTTGCCAATCACAAACTTAAAGTTAACAAACGCTTACAAAAAAAGTATTTATAGGCAATATATCCATATATTTGCATACGTCTCTGAGCTTGGGTTACATAGTATATTTATATATGAATTACAGTGAAACCGAATACCGAATGAGTAACACCTAGTTATAATTATTTGTTTTTCTATCTTGAAAACTTGAACGTTTCATTGATATTTCTTTATATTTCAACTATATTTACTTTATTACTTTATTTATTTACTAGTTTCTTTGAAGGATATCAATAAATTTTTAATTTAACTTGTCATTTTGCATATAATTTTAATGACTAATAGCATGCAAAGCTTTGGGCGCCAAAATTCAAAATGACAAGTGTGGTTTGAGCACAAACTAAATGTAAATTCAAGTTGTAATACGACTTGGGTCTTTGTTATTAATAAACTTTGTTTTTTTATTTGAAATATATTAATAATTTAATACAGATTAATAATCTGTACAAAATCCTTCTGCCATCACTGCTTAATTATTTATAATAAGCTTGCATTGTTTTTAATAAGCTTTTTTAGCAATGTTTCTCACTTTTTTGTTCAATTTTTTTGCTGATGTTGAATGTGACATTTTTCTAATTTACTAACCTTTTTGTATAAAAGTTTGTATAAGTTTATATTTTACAAAGGTGAAAAACAAACAAAACTATAAACAAAAAATGTATGGTGATATTTTCAATAAGATATTAAATGCCATATTATAGTCAACATATCAATAGACTTCTTCTCTCTCTACCTCTCAACTATAGATTCCACTTCTTTTGAGTTTTAAAAACAAACGGTTGTTCTTAACAATTTTTGTAATTTACAGTTCAAATATTTTCACACTTTTTAATGCTAAGTAAATTTTAAATTAATATAATTATATTTATTATTATATATTTTCCTGTAGCTCCTTCACGTTCTATAACAAACCAAATTCTAAATGAGTTTCGTGACTTTTCTAGTCAGCCAGAAACTCACTACCTTAGATAATCTTTATTAATTTTCTTAATTAAATTGATAGAGTGCTGATTACTTTGTTGAAAGGATATCGTGTTAGTTATATATCTTCTATAGGACCAGACAAATGACGAAACGAAATCCGGGAAATTACGTTTTTACCCAAATATCTGTATTGTATAATTTGTTATTTAATTTCGTTCTGTCCCAATTTTAACCCATTTTTTCTTCCATTTAATACTAAGAAAGATCAAAATACTCAAGGATAATAAAGGATATTAATCAAGGATAATAAATAATACATAATAATAATTCTAGTTGGTTTTCTTTGGGAGTTAAGCCATAGTTTTAAAGTCTTTATTAAAAATTTTCTTATATACACTTTGTAGTAAAAGTTGTTATTAAAAATATATATGAGATGATGGTTACTCACATTAAAATCTATTACAAAAAAATGTTAGTATTATAAAAATATAAAATATATACTATATTACAATATTATACATGAACATAGCCCATTTGTATAATAATAATTCCATAGGAAAGACTGCTGCTAAGCAGAGCGAAAGCACAGCGCATGTCCATTCTGAACAGACCAAGGACCTTCTTATCCTTTGAAGCTTCTCTAATAGCTCGTCTCAGGATAGAAAGTTCCCACTAAAAGTAAAATGGGAAGAAAGTATAAAGAACATTAAGAAATTATAATTTTTGTAGACTTTTTCTATAAAAGATTGCCTACTTTTAGGCTTCACGGTGCCCACAGAAACTATAAGTCCTTGCAGCTCTGTTACAGACTTTTCTTTATGAAAATAATTTGTATTTTATGATTTTCTTTAAGTACTAAATCTCACCTGCCTTTCGGTTGCCTTGGCATCTTGATCACACACCTGTGGACTTCCGCATTGCCTCTTTTCCTGACCCAACAGGTGTTCACAGACAATCTGCAGGAGCAAACAGTCCGAGAGCTTCACCACCAAGGATATGGTGCTTAAGATGATCTTCAGGTTAGACAGACGCAGTCCCACATCGTCCTGTCGCTGGATAATAAAGGCATAGCCCAAATAAATGTTTCCCAAGTTGTAAAACATCTGGAAGAGCAGGCTTGAAGCCACCAGCCAGGCAAAGATTCGATGCACCTGTCGTTCCAGGAACAAGAGTCGCTCCTGCCTCCTCAATTGGGCCATCAATTTACCATAAGAATCCTGCTTCTGCTCACTATTTAAACGAAGAGCTTCACTAAAATCCAGGAGGAGCAGGAAATAGGCAAATAAAGCCGATTCCCTGACCACTGAGCTGTACACAAAATAAATGTTGGCCAGGACATCTGCTATTCCCACCGTTCGCTTGTCCACGATCATAAGGATGCCAAGCACAAAGTTAAAGTTGTGCAAGTAATTGTGAACCTTGCCAAAGAACACTATGTAATAGAAACGACTTTGCTTCTTTTGGCCCAAATCCTGGTCTAATATATCCGATAGTTCGTTGTATATCTGGCACACCTGTCGCTCGTATTTTAAGCGCACAACTAAATGAATTATCAAAGGCAGTAGTTGGAAGATCACACTGCCCTCGCTCATCTGTTTATATAGATACAATAAATATAAATAAATATATATAAATATTTGAATATATTCTTATATACCTGAAGCACAAAACCCTGTCGTCGAAAGGTGCCTTTGGCAAAATACGCTCGGGCATGTCCCCAGAAAGGAATATATAGTCCCAGGCCAATGGTCATCATTAGCCAACTGTAGATTTGCAGGAACCGAGAGTGCCTTAAACGCTTGTTATATGAGTGGGAGGATAAGCCCAGGATAATGACCAGACTCATCCAGCAGCGAAGGATCAGGCGGCACAACCTGCGAGCTCGCATTGTGGTTAATAACTGAACTGGTTCTGGCAAGGACGACGACCCATCGTGCGGAAAGGAAAGCCTTATCTATCGAGGACTATGTGCTTATCTCGGAGGGAGTGACATTAAAATGGCAACTAAACAGGACACGCCTCAGACGATGGGGATATAATACCTTTTACCATTATTAATATAAACTATTAACAGACTATTAGTTTATTATTAGCAACTTGATAAGTCAAGATGCAGACATTATTTTGTGACGTTGTTATACCCTTTCTTGTACCCTTTTATTTATTACTCTTTCTTTATTTTGAAAATAATATAATTAATAAATTACATACAATAAATGACAAATTTCAAACTGTAATACATATTTTCTTGTATAATTTTTAAAGCTACTATATTTAAATAACTAAAAAATATTGATTTTGGGTATATATTATATTATTTTTACATTTTAGTATAATTTGTTATATTATTTATCCTTTCTTATTGAAATTATATATATTTATAAGCTTTTTTTATAAAAAGATAGCAGTTAATAAAAGTTTTTCACAGATAAAAGGATATATCAAGAGAGTAAGTCTTCTTTTTAATATTTACGAAAGATTATAGATATGCATATATGAAAATATGTAAGAAATATATTTGATATATATACGAAGATAAATCCCAATAAACACTTAAATTTATAATTTCTTAATTATTTGTATTATATATTTTGTAAAGCCTAAAGCCTAATAGGGTCTCAAAAAAACTTGTTTATTCATTTTTAAACTTGATTTCTTTTAAGTTGGTGTTATAAATTCGTTAACTTGATATTTTTCTGGTGTCTTATATTGTTCATATATATTTTTATGCATATATATATGTTTTCTTTTATATTATATGTTTTCTTTTAATTTTCTATGACCTTTTACGTAGATAAAGATCAAATTGTACCAGGGTTATGAAGTACGAAAAGGCAGTTACAGCAATAAGATATACCAAACGTCGATCCAAATGCAAAAGACCACAAAGCATGGGAGGTTGACAGTTTAAAAGTTCCAGGGAAAAGTGTTCTATCTGGAAATCGAAAGAAAAAAAGGGTTTTTTAAATAGAAGATTGATTATATAAAATTTAATAAATAAATTAAGAAAAAGAAATCAACTAAAGAACACTGCAATAACTTGAATAGAGCGTCATACAAATGATTTGTTGTGTCAAGTTCAAAAGAAAGGTTTTGAAATATTTTTAAATTCTCTTTGTAAGCAAAGTTAATTAGCATTTTTTCAGTAGTTTCAAATAACTTTAAGCTATAACACTTACCTCCCTGGTTAGCCTCTCATCCCAAGTTGGTGGCTCTGCAAATCTCCTCATGGTTAGGCCCACTCCCTCCAGTTCCAGTTTGATGTGCTCATTGACCAGAGTCACTATATAGGTATCTATATAGAAGCCAGTGGCATAGGCTGAACCCACAATGACCGGAAAACTGACCTCGTCCAGTGATTGCTTGGCCAGCATATGGAAGAGCGTATAGAAATTGGTCAGATTATTGATCAAAGTGCTCAACATGAGTCCAATTAACTGAAACTGATGCATCCGGAAGCTCTCCTTCTGGAGGCCATTAATCTCCGTGCAACGTCGTCGCAACTCCTCGAGGCGATCACTGAGCTCACAACAATGTTGCAAGAGCATCCCTCCTGGCCTAAGTCTCTCCATTTCCTCTTGCAACGATCCCAATTGGAGATTCAATTGACGATAATACTTCAACACCGAGGCATTAATCCAGTAACAATAATCGGCCATATTTTCGGTATAATTCCACAAGACAAAGGCATAGATGGCAAAGTGAACACGAACTCGACTGACCATACCCTCCTTCTCACTATCCTCGCCATATTGTGCAAATATGCCAATCACTTGGATCATCATCATCAGATTGATCAGACAGAACTTGAAGTACATGAAGAATTCGAAAGGATCCTTGGGCTCACTAGGAGCATCCTTAAACTCTTGCTCCAAATGCATCCTCTGAAGCGTGCACCTTTGATTAATTGCCTCAAAATGCACTGTATTTGCCACATATGTCACAATCACTGTGGCATACTTGATGGCCGTGTTGGCAAAGCTCACATATAAGAGCAATTGCAACCGACGGTCTCTGGTATCGGTGAGAGTGCGAAAATGATAGCCAAAATATCCAGGTAACACCACAATCAACAGCAAACTAAACAGGTGACCCCATAAGATGAGTAACACCTTTACACTACGCTTGAGACGTCTCTGGGGTATATAATCGATCACCACTTGGCCATAGATCACGGCATAGACATGTCCATACTGATAGAATTTAAACTCATGTCGATCCCAGAAACTGGACTCTCTAGCCGGCTCCGACATTCCGGTTTCACTTTCTTTGGTCAACTAAACATGGCCAGAAAAGGTAAACAACAAACAAACATCTTTTGTTCTATCTAGTTGCGTGTGTATGTTGATTATTGGAGATGAGCGATAGAATAGGTTTCGAAAAAAAAGAATAGGGAAAGGTATGGAAAAATACAGTTTTCCTCTTCAATTGATTATTTTATTACACTGCACCCAGTGAGAGTTTACTTCATGTGCCCAAGGAATTCATAGGAATTTCATGTGTTACAGGAAGGACCTTAGGCATGCCTCCCCGTTTCATCATGTGGTAAGCAAAAGACTCCGGTAATATCCTTTGTATCCTTCAGTATTCTTTGCTTAAAGGGATATTTCAATCTAGGAATTATAATTTATACTTAAACTTTAAAATAGCTTAAAGAGTAAAAGTAAATATTAAAGTAAAAAATATATAAATAAGAAAGGAAACTAGCCAAATTTTATATACCCTTGCAATTTTCAAACAAAATATAGGGTCTAATTGTAAATCGATCAAAATTAAGCTTTAAATATTTGAATTCCTTGAATCAATATTTATCGTTATTTTTCCATGACAATTTTTTCAACAAATTAAAGTTAAACTCAGAACTAAGCCAAAATAGCTTTAATTTTACTACGGAAAGTTGTCCCATGTCGTTTTTATTAGGTTAATAAATCTGCATACTAAATGTTAAAATTAAAATTTGTGTCAATTTATAGGAAATTTTAAAGATGTAACCCCATATCTTTTTTTTTTTAAATCTACAACATTTTTAAAATTTAAGTTTCTAGACTAGATAAACTCGTTTGTTGATGCTGATCACGAATATATGTGATTAATGATTGATTATAATGATTAGTAAGTTTCGATGACCAGTAAATAATTATGAACATTAAGTATCAATGAACATTAAGTAACTATGAACAGTAATTATCTATGACCAATAATAAAGTATGATCAGTAAGTATATATGACCAGTAAGTATGAATGAACAGTAAGTAACTCTGAACACTAAGTAACTATGATCAGCAAGTATCTATGACCAGTAAGTAACTATGATCCGTAAATAGCTATGATCAGTAATTAAGTATGATCAGTAAGTATCGATAACCAGTAAGTATGCATGATCACTTACCAACTTTGAACAGTAGTAAACAATGACTTGCAACTTTTGTAACACAACACATATCTGAAACTTGGCTGGCAGCAGTCACTTCGTTCCGGGGATGCTAGAACAAGTTGGGAATCATATGCACGGCTGTGCGAGATTTCTTTTGAAATAAATTTAAGCTATTTTAATGAAACTATAAAGTTGTTCTTCTATATAATTTTACTGGTATATAAATCGGAGCATGGCGTATCGGTGGACTATATAAATACATATATATAGCTGCCATAGGAACGATCGGAAAATTTTAAGAAAAAATATTATAACTTTTCCAGTTTTCAATAGATTTTCATCAAATTTATATATTCATTCATCAATTCATTTTATATACAGCCATTATTAATCTAGAATATTGTGTAAAATTTTATGAAAATCGGAGTACTATATCTGTAGCTGCCATTCGAACGATTGTTAAAGAAAGGAAGGAGGAAAATGCCATTACTTTATTGTTTTTTAACATAAATATATATATAATTTAAATTGTATTAATTCATAGTGATCGATATTTAATCTTCCTTTCTCTTTTTGATCTCTTTTTTTCCATTAGTTTTTTTCTATTGAAAAGATTTGACCAAGGCAATTATTGAACCCGAAGTCTGTAGAATCTGAAATTATATTATATATAGTATCATTAAATATGCAATATTTTAGTATATACTTGAAATTCTTAACTTACCGAAGCAAATGTGGCCAATGAAGGTGAAAAAAAGGGCACTGCCATGCTCAAGGCTCTCTGTGATCGCAAAATAAGGAGCAGGACCAAACGCCTTTGTACGGGAGAAAGTAGATGCCAAGGACAGGAACCCATAACTCTGGATAACTGAACACTCTACGAAACATTAACATTAGTTTTAAGAAAATCTAGAGCTTACTTCAAGGTCTTAATGATTTAATTCAATGAATAAAATCCTGTTCCCCGTCAAAACTTACACTTTCGGCCACCAAAGTTCCTCCATAACAATAAACCAAAAGTTGGCTTAAAGCGGCAATTGTATAGGCCACATAGAGAAGAGCTCCTAAGCCATTAGTGCCCACGGTTAGTAAATTAACCATACTAAAACCTATAACCATTCCAGCGGATACAAAATGTGCCAAAGTTATAATGGCATAACGTTTTCGAAAAAATTTGGTTAAATCAATTATAGAATTATGTTTAATGATTATCGAACGCATTTCCTGCTCCAAATTATAAAGCTGCAATGGTGAGAGCTGCAAAAGATCTTGAATAATATGAAATATATATTAATTTATGAGATGGTTTTCTAGGATTTAAAAATATTCACCTTTGTAAGGCTTAAAAATGGCTTGAATTTCGGCTTGGAGAACCTCAAAAAGCGCTGATATATGAGCACAAAACTCAAAATAGAAACCATCACAGCCTCCAAACATAAAGATGGTCACATATCCCGTATAGGCAATAAAAATGTAGGTCAAGGGGAAAAAGGGAGATCTCAAGAGAACTGGTGGCATGCTGTGGAAATTAAAGTTAAATAATAATATATATAAGTAATCAAGTCTATCAACTAACTAATTTAATGAAAATTAATAAATAGAAAAGAATGTAATAGCATACCCATATAAATTTATATTTAAATCTTAAAAATACCTTAATAATTCCTATACTACCCCCACTCACGTCATATTAAATGGTGTCACCCAAAGTATCTGATCTCCACGTTGCTGCAAAAACAGTACCAAAGACATTAATATAGGTTTCAGATTGTAGGTTGTACAGGTAAAAAAACCCGTGGATAAAGGCCAAAAATTAATCCTTGCCGCCATCACCGAGTGCCTCAATCGAATGCGACGCTGCTCTGGTCTCTCCTTTTGGATCTCGAAGAGCAACTCCCTCAACCTGGTCCACATATCGCAGAGATCACTCCTATATCGCAGCATCAGGAACATCTTGAGGAGAGTGACAGCCGAGGTTCCAGCCGGACAGAGAGTCTCCAGTGCCAGAGTGATCTGTTGCTGATCCAGAAAAAGGAGACCAGCATGAAGTTCGGTGAGTACTCCAATTGCCAGGATAACAAAGTGGACAAGAGCACGGAATGGCAATCGATCCTCACGGTTTCCTGGCCAATAACCCATCAAATTAAGGCTTAGATAAGGTACAGCAAAAAAATATACAGCCAAAGGTTGATTTCGCTTCAAGAACCGGAACCACTGCACCATGATTGAGAGAGTTTTTTTAACAACTAATGATGTCCTGCGGACAGGAATCTTACTTATAAAGGAAGCCATGCAGGTGAGGCACTACACTGAAGAAAAATAATTGCATTTAATTAAAAGAATCATAAAGATTAAATGGGATTTTTCCAATAAAAGATAAAGAATGTGGTTAAAAGTGTTATATATTTATTTTTATATTGAAAAGTATTAAGTTTTGATTACTACAATATTTGTTAAAAATATTTTGCCTAGAATTCAGTTAAGAGAGTTTCTTAATTTATGTTTCATAATAATTTTAATTGTATTATATTTAAAGAAAATGTTTGATCAAGACTTCTTTGTGTATATTTCAATAACTAATTCAATTTTCCAATTGAAAAATAATCGGTATTGATTACTACAATAATTATAAAAAATACGTTTACCTAGAATTCAGTTAAGAGAGTTTCATACTTAACAATTTATAACAATTCTAAATGTATTTCATTTAAAGAAAATAGTATAATCAAGTCCATTTTTTATGTATATAATTCAATAATTAATTCAATTTTCCAACAATTTATTCCAATTAATTTCTGCTTAAGTTACTAAAATAATAATATATTAATATAATTACCTGGAATTTAGTTAACGAGGTTTCCTTATTAAAGTTTTATAATAATTCTACATATACTTCATTCAATTCAATAATATATTAATTTTTTTAAATGTTAAAAACATGAAAAAAAATGCTACGTTTTGACAAATAAATACATGATATACGTTTATAATATTGTCTTATATTTTAATTTGCATTTGATATTATAATATATAAACATTAATATTTTTTTTTATTAATATTTTCCCAGTGTAAATCCCAACCTCTAGTTAAAAGTGTATTTCCCAGTTAATTGACTTGTTATGCAGTCGAAAGTTTTTGAGCAAAAAACTTTTCTATAATTACAAAATCCTGGTAAACTCGTGGCTCTAGTTTTGTTATTTATGGCCAATGAAAATTGTTAATAAAAAATCTAAGCCAGGCAACGACAGGCACAAGTATTTTAGACGCCGCCGCCATGGGGAACGAGTCACAATCAGAGCTAATCCATCAATTAGCGTTAGTCGCTAATTTCAGTAATCAAAATACAAACAAATCAAGATTAAGACACTCGGACATCGGACTCGAATAATTCGTGCGTTTTTTTTGTTTAAATAATCTCGTGGCCCATTCACGCACAGCATGAAGTAACAGGAGCGGATTTTATAAATCGAAATGCTAAATATTGATAAGGAGTGATAAGGAAATATGGTATTTATTTAAATGTAATTTTTAAACATAGGAAAAATATTATATTATTGACTGAAAATATTAAAATTGTGGAAGTCTGACAGTTAATTAAGATTGATGTTTTTCTACTGTAAGGTAAACCGATTTGTTTAAATAATCTACTTCACTTGTCGAGACTCAAAAGTAATAAAAAATAAACTCATAAATTACAGTTTATTATTAGTTTATTTTTCAAGAAATGTAATGAACTTAATTTAAATTTTAAATGTATTATTTCTACATCAAACTAATCAAATTTATAAAGAACATTTTACAGGGTTTTGCTCCCTGAAAGAAAATGATGTTCATTATATTCATCCCATTATATTTATTTATTTCTAATATAAATAAACTCTTCTCTTTAACTTTATTATCAAAAACAGTTCTTAAGATAATTTGAAATATTTGTAAAATAGAAGTAAGATAAAAACAAAGCAATACACTAATATTTTATTTATTTCTTGAATCTATCTTATTTCAACAATCTGTTTACTTTCTATAAATAAGATTGAACTGACATTAAGAGCTGGAGAAATCCCCAGATTTGCCTAAATTTTCCTCAATTTTCTCTCATTATTTATCTGCTGTCTTATCTCCGTCTGTCCTCTTATTTATGTAAAACAAATATAACGAGTTTTATCATGAAGCAAAGCATATTTGTAACTTTTGCTTGACTATAATCCCGGTCAAAACCAGAAATGTTATGACCTTAGTGAGTCACATTGATAAGCGTTTAATTACACACAACACAGATGGCTTATCACAACTAGAAAAAAAAATATAGTAACACAGAGATTGGATATCACGTGATTTAATGATAAAAAGATTTAACCAATGAGTGATTTTAAAGAGTTGGAAAAAATATAACTTTAGAGATACATTTTGTATTAGATTATATATAGAAATAAATGTAAATATATTCTTAAGAACATATTATGTTAAATAAAGTAACTAAAATAATAATTATTAGTAGAATATATTTAAATATATTTAATAGTTATAAAAATTCGCACCTGTCCAAAGCAATGCCCAACAGCTGGAGTCATAAATCATGTGTCTAAAACATATTGAAGTTTTGTCAACGACTCTCAGACGAATCCAAGTTAATTTTTGTATATATGTATATATAGTATATATACTTAAACTTAGTATATTTTGCAGGCACACTTAGATTAGCAGCGCACGTTCCTTGGCCAGGTGACGTCAGTGGCGGCGGCACACGGGTTTCAGTTTTTTTTTTTGTATTTTTATTTTAGTATTTGATCGAGTTTGAATTATAAAAAAGCCGCGACACCATCGAAGGTCGATAATGGGTGTTGATAAGGTTTACGCCACAAGTTCAGTCTACGATTTTAAGGCAGGTTAGACACATAAAATGACTCAGGAAATTAAGGAAAATTGTATTGAATTTGTAATGTATGAAATTAAAAAGAGCAGCTGATATATTTTATATTTTTTCAAAGAAGAAGTAAACCAATAAGTTGTTATAACTAAAATATAGTTAATAAATAAATATTTGCATTGATTTTTATAAGTAAATTTTGGTTCTTTAACCAAGTTTTTGCTAAAATTGTATTGAATTTGTAATGTATAAAACTAAAAATAGATTTAAATTTAGAGCAACTGATATATCAAAGAAGAAGTAAGCAAATAAGTTGTTATAATTAAGACATAATTAATAAATAAATATTTGCATTGATTTTTGTAAGTAAATTTTGGTACTTTAACCAAGTTTTTGCTAAAATTGTATTGTTCAAAATAAATAGTATTTCTTTGGATATAATTTCGTATTAAATGAATTAAATAAATTACCAACAAGGCGGCTAAATCAATTCTTCCCCTTAGATTGCTCTAAAACAATAAGATACATAACGCCATGGAATTTTTCACCCTCTTATATCGTGCCAAGTATCAAATGGTACTCAAAGTATTATTCCACAGATGTTCTTCCCTAATCTAAATAGAAAGTCCAGTACAAGGGCATCAAAATTGATATAAAAACACTAGATGAATGATGATGATAATAATGATAATGATGATGATGGGTAAATTGCTTGATTCGCGGGATTGGGATAGATTTGATGGGCATAATTGCATCGGCAGTGCCGAGTACCAAGCAATTTTTTTTTGCAAATTGAATCAACGCCAATTGTTCAAAACGTTCAGCAGTGTTTGCCCCTTTTTTCTATAATATCTTTAGCCTCAGTCCCCCAATGCATTTGCTTTCAGTTTGTTTTCTATTTTGTTTCTTTATTTTCTCTATTTTTTTAAATATTTTTTGTTGTTTTGTTTTTGGTATAGTTTTTGTTTTTGGGTTGCCACTAAATCGCAGTGCAGCTTCCTAGCAACAGAGCAATTGCTTTACGTCCATCAAACTTAAAACACACACTTTTCACATATAAAAAAAAACACACGCACACCCAATGAACAACACGCAACTTGAGTACAGTGATACCTCAGAGAATGTAGTTTTTTATATTGTTTTTATAAATTTTAATTAAAATTTTATAACTATATTATATAGAGTAGGAGTAGTACTTTTCCTGAAGGTAAGTCTTTCCAAGTTTCTTTTCTTCTGGCTATATCTTGGACTTTTATAAGCTCGATATTTATTGTAATTTTGCTTTTTTAAATATAGATGCATTGGAAAATCGAAAAAATATGATTTTCTGAATTTTTCCTATTTATTTTAAGGCAACTTAGTACTTAAATCAAGAAAAAACAAAGGTGCAAGGGGAGAACTCTAGATCTGCGGGCTGGAGATACAAAGTTCTATTTAAATCTCTTTATTTCACTTTTTTTGAAACCTTTAAAATATGTATTCTATTACAATTTATATTAATTAATATATTATACATATTTTAATTTAATTTCTTTTAATAACATTAACTTTACTTAGTACTTAATTCAAGGAATACCATATTGCAAAGGGAGAACCCTAGATCTGCGGGCTGGAGACACAAAGTTCTATTTATATTTCTTTATTTATCTTTTTTTGAAACCTTTAAAATGTGTATTCTATTACAATTTATATTATTTAATATGTTATATATATTTTTATTTAATTTCTTTTAATAGCATTAACTTTACTTAGGCATAATTCAAGGAATACCATATTGCAAAGGGAGAACTCTACATCTGCAAGCTGGAGACATAAAATTCTATTAATATTTTTTGGTTCTCCTTTTTTGAGATCTTAGAATTGTGTGGCTTTTAACAATTTTGTATTATATCGTATATTATATATCTTTTAGTTAAATTTTTACAAAAACGTAATGTTTCTTTACTATTTCCTTTTAAAAAAATAATTATATAGCTTTCTTCTATAGCTCACTGTACTTTGGTGGCCTGACATTGTCTTAATTTAAAACAGGGGGATTATCTGTGTAAGGGGGTAACCCCAGTGTCCAGTATCCCCAGAATTCAATTTCTCTAACCGATCACACTGTTGCATGACAAGCCCAGCAAAAAAAATAAATAAATAAAAAATACAGTGTGCACATGACCATTAGATAAGTTTATTATAAATAAGCATGCGGGCTATAGTCAGAAAACCCGAATGCGAATGCCATAAAGAAGTTAAGCAATTCCAGACAGTTTAGAGCATAAATTGCTTAATAGAGTTTATATGCCACAATTGGGGGCATAAAGAGTGTCGCATTTTATAATTCGGTTTCGTATTTTTTTTTGCTTTTCCGCCAAGCAGCAGTCATTGCCTATAAAAAAAAGAACCAAATATAAAAATATAGCACAAAGTTTCCAGATAAAGTGCAAAAACACTAAGAAAGAGTATTTAGTAAATGGATTATAAAGATATAGATTATATTTTCTTGGAAGTAGGTAGAGAATTTTTAAGTCAAGCCAACTAAGAGCTGAGAAAATACTCCTTTAATTAATTTTCAATTTAATTTTATTAAATTTTTAATTAAATTTTTGTCACTACTTGACTCTTGTGTCTTGAGTGTTAGGAAATACTTATAATATTTTTTAAATGCTATAAACTCTTGTAAAAAGAATTATTCTATTACCAAAAATAACTCCTAATAATTAACCCTGAAACTCTTAACCCACTGATTTAATCTTCATTTTTGTTGGGGGTCAAAAAGCACAAAAACCCAAAGGGGTTGCCTTTCCTTAATCAATTTATATGGCGATGGCGTAGTGCCTCCAATCTTTGGCCGGCTGGAGTATCGATGACTTACGCAATTTTATTGGGGGTCCACAAAGTGGCTAAGCACCAAAATGGGGCAAAAATAAATGGCACAAGTAACAAAATTCACGCGATATAGAGACCGATAATCATCAGTCATCAATAAATTGGCGCCAAACTAAGACCAAGAAAAAGTGATCCACTTTGGAAGTTTCTTTTGTAAATATACCCCTTAAAAATATAAAAAAAAACTTCTTTAAAATTTTATATTTCATTTTCATTAGTTTGTGATTAAAAGGAATTATCAAGGGTCAATAATTATTTAAAGATTTTATATTGATTATAAAGGTAATTGATTTGTAATTGCTTTGGAATTTATTTGGGTCTTATCTAAAATATTTCGAGAGGTTCAAAATCTATCATACAAAGCTATTGCTTTTAATAAAATATATTTTAATAATTAGACAACTAAAACAAATAAAAATCCTTGGTTAAAATCAATCAACAATTGATTAAATAAAATAAATAGTGAAAATTATAATAAAATGCACTTATTTACCGCCATAATCCAGTGCAAAATTTTATCCATCCGAACTGGTGACCCCGATATTTTGTGATCCATCATCATTCGGGAAAATTTGGTGCTTAGTTGCAAAAAATAAAAAAAAGAGTAAGCAAACAATGGGCCTCGATCATAAATTGCCGCTGATGATCACCAATTAAGCTGGCGAAATTAATTCGAAATATGAGACGTGATAATTTCAATTCATTCTTCTCTTTGAGTTACAGTTAGAGACCATCAATTAGTCGTATATATCGATGAGAAACAACATACATACAGCCTTGAGATAAATATAGAAATGGATAAGATATATCAGTGAATACTAATGAACAGAGAAGAAATAAGATAAATATAGGTTAAGCTTAGGAAAATTCTAGACTCCAAAAATTTCTGAGGTCTTCCTGACCCCTACTTCACCTTAAATTTCCTTTTTTTTCCTGAGTATTTAATAACTTATATTTAGTATTAGCACTAACTTTAACTACTTATAATTGAGTCTCTTATCGACGCCACGCGCCGTACTTCGTTCCATTTCGTATTTCAAATTGTTTCGCTGGCATTTAGGGCAGATTCCAACCTCCTGGATTCCTAATCTTGCCCGGCTTTATCATACGGCTATCGAATATTTTGCTATAGCGGACTTTATGGCTTTAAACGCAAAAAAAAATAAACATTTTTAAATAAAAATACAAAATATATGTCTGCGAAACCTAAAAAGCGAAAAGCCTCGACTAATGATATCAAAAGCAACAGGAGACAGACGGCAGACAGAGGCGGCGGGCGACGACCGCAACGCATGCGCAGTTCACGTGAACACAATAAATCAGCTAACTTGGGGAGCGTTGCCAGTTTAGCGAATATTTTCTGGTTTTTGGAGGTGGGAAAAATATTAACTATATTTTTAAATATTTTTAAATATTATAATTCATTTTTTAAACTATTAAAAATATATATTTTTTAAACCTGCTTCGAGTTACAATCCGTAAATAGTTTGATAATATATGAAAGAAAACAATCAAGTAAAGTATATAAACTTAAAGCTAAAACTGGTTGTAATATGGAATTAATTTAGTTTTGTATTTTTTTACTACATATATTTTAATACTTCAGTATTTTAAATAAGTTTATAAATAGGTTTCTTTTCTTAGTCAAAGTATTTGTATATATCCAAGAATATAAATTAATCATTTTATTCAAATTTAAAAAGGAATTTTCCTTTATTTATTAATATTGCTTTATTAATTTATTCTTTTTCCCTATTTTATACATATTCCTTTACTAATTTACTGTTATTATTTTATTTTATTTCATACTGTAATGATTTATAATTCACGTATATATTTACTGTAATAAAACTAGATAACCCTTAAAATACCTTTAATTTTGTACTTCTAAATAACATTCTAGATATTTTAAAGTTGCTTTAACTTATTATTAAAATTTCTTAATTTATTATTTTCTAGGGATATTATATTATTCAAAAAATAAATTTTCGTTTCTCTCATTTACCTTCTGAAAAACTTGGCCAACACTGAATTGGTATCAAGATGCCGCCGACGATTAATAGAAAATTATTTCACGTTTTTCTGCTTGTTTTATTTTATTGTATAAAAATGTACGATCGCCGGTTTATAGGTTTGTCTCCGCATTTCACGGCTGAATGATATACATGTATTTATGTACATACAATATGTGTGTTAATTGTGCATTTAAAATTGAAATAAAATTTAGCTTGTCGCTTTTTATTTGATATGTTAAATTGATGTTTCTTTTGGGCCGTCTGCCTCCCAGACACCAGACATTTTTATTTGCATTTACAATTTAGATTAGCTTGAGATATTGTTACACCCAAAGAGAAATTAATGTTTTTATAAAGGCTATATCTATAAATATATATTTTAGTTTGGCTATTTTTATAGTTATCTAGAATTGAATAGTCATGTTTTTAGTATTTCAAATAAAAAGGAAAAATGAATTGACAATTTATACCCTTTTTAAAATTATTATTATTTATGTCTCATGTCTAGGGTTATTTACCTTAATAGTTAATACAATTAAATGAACAGTTTCTGAAACTAAACGATCCTTATAATTTCAGAACCTTTTAAGTAAACCAATTAAATAAGTAAAAATCTATTTTGAGAAATATAAATAAATCTCAAACCTTGAAATAAATGTTATGTAACATGCTTGTTTCTTTTTTAATGCCAAAAAAAACTGCTTTCAGAAGCTATAAATTCCTCTTAATTTACATTTTATCGTCTAGACAAAAATCCATAAAACCAAAACAGTTAACCCTTTCTGTACAAAACTTGTTTGCAATTAACTTTTTCACACCTTACACGCTCGAAAGCAGTGCTAACATTTTTCTGTGGGCTATATAAGGTTAAATCCAAAAGATAATGGAAAATGGTGCTACAATTGTTTAAAAGTCAAAAGAGAGCTAAGAGATTAAGTCTACAAAAGGTGTTAAATTTAATATGTATTTATAAATATTTATATATTCTTAGATTTACCTTAAAATGTACATGTTTCAAAGCAATTGAAAGCTAAAAATAAACATTTGCTTGAGATATTTACAAAGACAATTGCTATTTAAAGTTATTGTATTTATTTATATTTCTTTAATCTCTTGTATTTATTAATATCAACATTTCTGTGGTTTATTTATATAATAAACTTGGTTCAGGGCTAAAAAGGGACATTGCTCCAGTTATACATATCGTCTGGCAGCTTCTAATTTTCCCCTATTTTTATTTAACAACTATTTATTTTTGTTTTGTTTGCCTGACGAGGCAAGCGCAACGCCAAGTAATAATAAAAAATTGGAGAATCTTGAAAAGGTAATTAGCACATGGTCGTGTTTGTTTTATGCGCCATAAAAATAATCAAAAAATCGAGTCACACATCCGAACATCTCCACCAGTTGTCCGAGTGCAAAGTGATCGGCTCCGGGAACCTATAAAAGCGGATCAATCGTCGATGGATTTGCGCAGTTGCCCCAAAGAAGTGCCCACTGTATCATCCACGCCCACTCCAAAAAAAAGAGGAGCTAACCCCAAACTCCCCTCTAAGACAAAGTGTGTTTCAGTTCAAAAAATCGCGTGTGTTTGTGCCAAGATTCATTCACTTTAGTTTCCAGATCAGAATCGGAATCAGATCTTAATACAAAAAAAAAGAAATAAAAACAAGCACAATAAAATGCATTCAGCGTAAGTTGTTCATCATTACATCAGCCGATTTGCCCTTGTCCTTGTCAAAAAAAAAAAAATATATACATATATATACATAAGGAACAAAAAATTACAAAATTTCATGATAATCATTTACACGCATTTACTCCGGACATCAAAAGTGAATTAAAAATAAACAAAACAATTTGGCAACTTAACCTGCAACTGTTATTTTCTACACTTAAAACAAGTTCATGGTGGATTCAAGGATTTATAGATTTAAATTCAAGAGATAAATGATATATTTAAAATCAAGAAAGCTGAGAAATTATTTGTATTATATTTTTTTCTGTTTTATTTTGTTCTTTGAACAATGGTTTAATACAATTAAACATTTTTAATTCTGGAAGAAAGACAAAGAAAAGTTTAAGTTTTTAAATAAATATATACTGAGAATATAACAATTTCTATTCTACAAACAAATTGTCATAGGAAAAAATACATTGAATAACAGAATTAAAACATTCTTTGATATAATATTAATATTAGAAGAAGAATATATAAAGTTTGTAATTAAAAGAAGCAAAGTATATTAAAAAAATATTATTTACTCCTTATTTTAATGTCAAATTTTATTACTGTAATTCTTAAAATTAATAAAAATCTATAATAAAAGTTTTCAGTTAAATAAATAAATATATAATTCAAATTTCTTACTTGAAAAGATGATCACTAGTAATTTTTAAATTATTATAAATAATACTTGACTTTAATAAGGAAGTTAGTAAGGAAGTAAATTACTTTTAAAGTGAATTAAAGACAATACTTGCATTTTCTTGACGTGTAACCGGAAGTGTCAGCCAGGAATCCAATTGGGAGAGAGCACTCTCCCTCTTGCCATCTCTTTCGCTCGTAAGCGACAAACTGCAAAGCGTCTAATCTGTCTGTGGGTGGCAGTTGGGGTGGGGAGGTGGGGCGTCGATCGTGCAGCAACTGCGCCGCAGCAGAGGCAGCGGCGACGGCGTCGGCAGCGGCTGCGGCGACAACAGCTGTTGCTTTTGTTTTCAATGGCGAGCTGCCTTCACTGCACTATGGGCCAAAAGTTACTTTATGCGTTCAAAATAATAATTTAGAAATTTTAGAAAAAGTTCCCTTGTTCCCTACATAAGATTATCGTGATATAAAAAATTAACAAAGCGTTTTAAATCAAATTTTACAAAAATCAGCAAACGATATTTTTAAAATTAAAATAAAAATTGTTTTTATAATTACATCTATAAAACCGTATATAAATTGGTTGTAAATAATCGTTAGCAGAAGAAGAGCTTGGTCAACGTTTTTATATATTTTAATCAAACAAACTTTCACAAGTCTTAAATATGCAATGACTTTCATGAAATGAAGCCCTTAAAATTTTAATAAAATATTTACAATAAATAGTTAAACAAATATATATATATATAAATAAATGTAAAAAAATATTTATATGTAGATTAGTTTGGGAATTATTATAAAATAGTCCTTTTTAGTCTATGAAAGCAGTCTTCAAGTTTAAGTCCCAGAAATGTATGCTATACTTTTATTCAATATTATTTTGCTTCTTAACCAAATTTTTCTTTGATAATGGCAGAGCTTTCCGATCCTTTTCTTTCAAAACATTATATTTTACTTTATTGATTGAGATATATATATGATAAACTCATACATCACTTAAGCATTTTTGTCCAATAAAACTGCCTCTCAGCCCCATAGTGCAGCGACTGCTAGTACGCTGTAAGTGGAAGTGAATTGGTATTACTGTGCTCTATGTTAGTGTAGCCTAGTGTAGTGTGTGCAGTGCATAGTATATTATAGTATAGTGTAGTGTAGTATAGTATAGGATAGTGTATATAGTGTATATAGTGCGACAAAAACAACAAGCAGCGTAATAATATTATTAGTGGCGGGCGGGCGAGCGCGTTGCTTTTGTTTTGTTTCGTTGTTTGTCATTATAAATTGAGTGGGAACAAGGGGCTCCAGCTTAGTCGTGTTCCAGTAACGCTTCCGCGCACACAAAAAAAAAATAATAACAATAAATAAACCAAAGGCCAGTTAAGAATCCCGACTAGCGAAAGGACTCAGCCGCTGTCCAAAATCCTCGACTAAATCCCAATTATAATCCACAGTTGCCAAGCAAATCATACAGGTGCGAATCCTCTTCAGAAAAATAAATTCCTAAAAACAAGAGTGCCAAATTATTGAATATTGTTTATTTCTGATTCGCTTTCGATTTCGTTTTCGCTTGCCTTGCCTTTTTTTTGTTTGGTGGCCTTAATTGCAAAGAGCAGTATGTCCGCTAGGATCCTGGAGGACTCGCCCAACGCGCGCATCAACAAGACGATCCTGGATCGTTATCTCTCCCTTCCGCTGCAGGAGAATATCGTCCAGGCCACCTATGTGTGGATCGATGGCACCGGCGAGGATCTGCGCTGCAAGGATCGCACCCTTGACTTTATCCCATCGAGCCCCAAGGGTGAGTGTGTTACTTAAGTCGAGAGATTGTGAATTTTAGTGGTTTTTAAGTGAGTTTTTTGAAGATATTTAGTTAGACAAATTTATTATTAGTTTTGAAATATTGACAGACATTAGATAAACCAATATTTGTTATTTCCTAATACAACAAGAAATAACTTAATATATATTATTAGTATTGGTCACGTGAGGTTCGTGAATTTTTTAAATATTAAGGAGACATACTTTTAATCATGCAAAGCAGTGATTTTAATTTAAAATTTGAATTTAAATTGATGCTTCTCTTTCTAAACTAAAATCATAAAAATTAATGTTCATAAACTAAATTTAATATTTCTAAGTTTGCTAAATAAATTATTACAGCGCTGGAAGCTATTAAATAAATTTATAAAGGCATTTTTAGTAATTTTAAAGTGTTGAAAAATACGTCAAATTTAATTAATATTAAAATTTTAAAGTAATATTAACTTATTAAACAGAACGTAAAATGAATTTATAGAGGCATATTTAGTAATATAAAGTTATTGAACAGAATGCGAAATAAATGTTTAAAATTATATTTAATAATATTAACTCACACCTGTCGTCTAGCCTTAATTATCATCACTTAAATCAGCATTTAAAAATTTGTTCAATAGCAAATATTTAATCCTAATTCCAATCTGCCTCAAGTACTTATAGTAGAAATACCTACATTAAGTAATTTTGTACTTATCGGAGCATAGGTCGTGTCCGCACTTGATTTATGTGCGAACTATTTGATTTCTGCCAGTGTAATCTTATCTACCATAAGTTGGAGTGGGACAACTTAAAACTGTCTTCGTTTCAGACACTGGCTTGATTTATCGCAGTAATTCACTATTTTATTCTATAAATCCCCGATCTAAGTCTCTTTATAGCCAGTTAAGCTCTTTAATGGTTGTTTAATAGATCTACAGTGAATTAAAATAAATGAAAATCAAATGAACTAGAAAAATGGAAACTTAAAGAAGTCTAAGTTAGTATACCCTTTTGAGAAGAATAAGATATAATATAAATTAATTTATAACTCATATTAAACCAAAACTAATTTAATTTTTAATTCACAAAATCACCTCTCTTTGGAAAACTAAATAAACTTTAGAATATCTAAAATATATCCTTTCAATCTATACAAACTTGCTACCAAAATTATAAAACCCAAACTAAGTATATCTACTATTTTTTAGTAGATCTTTAGTAGAAGAAAATAATGAGGAATAAAAACATTAACCTATATTAAAATTAAATTAAATTAAATGAAGACATTAGCAAACCTAAAGCAAACCCAGCTAAGAGAAAAGCTTGACATAAACTTTTATTTATTATAATTTCAAATAGACTTTTATTAAGTATTATTGCCCATAAAATCAATTCATACAGAGGTATAAATATAGAATAAAATCAGATAATAAATGTCTAGAAAAACTGTTGTCTCGACAGGTGATAATTTATTTAAATTAGTAAAACACCTTCAAAGATCATAAATATACACAAGTTTATAAACATGTTCCGAAACGATTAAATTAGAAGCTTATTGGGTGAACTTCTAAGTTGGAGAAGTTGTATTTGTCCTTTAATTATAGTTTATAAGTTTTATGTAATTTATAAAAATAATAAAAATAATAGAATATAGTTTATGAAGCCTTAAAATAGAATGACGAGTTCGGAAACAGATTTAAATAAAGTACTTAAAGAATAGAAAATAGCTGTTATTTATAGATACAAAATGTAAATAATTTCGGTATAATAATTAATAGTTCAAATTTGATATTTTTAAAATATAGATTTCAATTGAAGAAAGTTTATAAATTACTTTTATAAATATAGTCTTAAATTATTTATAATTCTTATAGTAATATTATCAAAATTCGCATATTTTCTACATTATCTTCCGCCTTTCTATTTGTCGCTATTAATTTGACTTAATTTATATTTGACGGCAATTACCACGCAATATAAATAAATATATATCTGAACATATATGTATAGACTAGCTATTGCTCTGGCTATACTAAAGTGGATCTGTGCGATTTTATGAGCGTCTGAAAATCTAGCCCCATAAATGCCCAAAAAAAAATGGTGGCAATGAACGGGCTTCGTCTGTTAAAGCTTATTGCCCGCTGCGGTTTTTTATTGATCCCTCATAGCACTGACGACGATGACCTTTGCCTTGGCACGATTCTGGCGGTGGTTCTCCATTCCATTCGATTCAATTTAACGTCTGGGAAGTGCTTTATGGTCTAAATTTTCACGACTCAACTCGCGTCTGATAATGCGATTTAATCTCCCGGGGGGATATGGGACGCCTCATAAAAAAAAAGCCGTATGAACTTGAAAGAGTTTATTTTTTAGCAGGCGTGTGAGTGGGCTCCGGTGTTAATTGATTGCCTTTTAATGTGCAATTATAACCATGGACGAGTCAGCCGAAGAGGAAGTGATATGGGGGTATTGTAAACTATTTTTAAACCATTTTTTTTGACTCTTTTGGGGCATTAATAAGTGACGAATTTAGGATAGGTTATAAAATGTATGAAGATATATTCCATGGAATATTGGGACTTAAAATCAGAGTCGAAAACGGATCACTTTATCTGACTCTTTGTAATCTAGATATCAGAGACTTTAAGATATAGGAAAAATCTTATAAGTTACTTATAATAAAATGATTTTAAAATTTATTGTTAAGAAAACAAAACTTGAATACAAATAGAAACATTAAAATATAAAATAAGAATTTTTATATCAATAAAATTTATTCCCATACTTATAAAGATAAAGATATACAATTTCAATTTCAATTTCAATTCAATTAAGTTTATAACAGTTCCACTAGAGTTGACCTAGTGAAGCCACTGTTATAATTCATTTACAAACTATCAATGAAGAAAAAAGTTTCCTTTTTAATTCATTTCAAATCAAAACAGTTAAGATATTCTATTATTTGCAAACAAAAAACGTTCAATGAAGAAGGAAGTTTCAATTTCAATAAATATTGAAACTCTATTATAGTTGACCTACTGAACCCACTGTTAAAATTCAAGCAAAAACTATTGAAAGACAGGGACAAGATGATAGCTAAAATTGATCAACCGATGAAAAAAACCCCCTATTTCAAACGCTATGAAAACATTGATCAGTCAACTTGACTAGACAGATTAATTATTCCACTTGCACTTGAAAAACGAAACACAAAAGCAGAGGCAATAGCAACAACAATAAAAAATGACTTAATGCGCACACAATTACTAATTAAGAATCATGCCTTCTTTATCCCACTCACACGCAGAGTGGGAATGCATCTGAAATGGGTTTGGGGGAGGAGAAAAAGCCACACGCGCCTCTCCAAGCTTATTTTTTTACACACAGAGAGAGATAGAAGGAGAGTAAGAGAGAGATAGAGATTAGGAGAGAGAGATAGAAAGAGAACAGGAGAGAGAGATAGAAAGAGAGTAAAAGGGAGAGATAAAGGGAGAGGTTAATCGCTCAGTAACCCTTAGCTTCACCTTTTTTATTTCAAGTTCAAAGGGAAATATTCTAATTGGCCATTTTCGAACGAAATGACAGTTAATCGTTGAAGCGTGCTTGACAATCGATTTTTTTGGTTTCAATTGCAGCTACTAACCCCACCCCATTCAACCGCAATCAAAAGTAATTGAAAACTTTGTAATACGGTTGCATTTTTGAGCACTTCAAACCGTCAAGTGCTTGTCATTTCAAGGATGATGGGCAAGACAGAAAGAGATGGGTATATCGGTTGTGTGAATGCCTGAGAAAAGTACAGTTTGCAAGCCTTACAAAAAGGGTCAAATCAGAAAGAGATGGAGGTAGAAAAGTACAGTTTGCAGGACTTTTAAATGGGTAAAACGGGAAAGAAAGGGAAACAAAAGTTGAAAATGGTTAAAAAGTGCAGCTTAAAGGTCTGGGGAAAAGGAAAATAGAGTTGAAAGTAATGTACAGTTTGCAAGCCTTCCGAAAATGCTGAATCCAGAAAGAGATAGAAATAGAGTTTATAAGTATTCGAAAAGTACAATTAGCAAGTTACTAAAAGGAGAAAAAGATACATTCATTAAACTATTTACATTCTATGTGGTATTTAATAAGAGCTTAATAATGTCATTTGTCTATAAGCAAATACTTTATTAAAAAGAGTCAATTAGGAAGGTGTTGATATACATATCTATTTTGTAATCATTTTAATTTTGTTTTGCTGTATATTTCATTTGAACTTATGAAATATTTACCATAAGATACTTTTAAAGATCAAGTTATCTTTAATTATAGATTGATAACTTCAAATGTATGTTATAAGGTAGATATTTCTTAATAGTAACCTATTCAGATAACTTAATATTTAGATATTATTGTAAAAAAAATAACAAAACAAATATGATTTTTTTATTTACTTACATTTATTTAACAATTAAAAAAGAAAAATAACATGTTAAGTCTCAAAAGTCAATTGATTTTCATATACGCTCTCTTTTACTTTGGTATTTTCCAATTAATTATTATTGTATTATCTTTTTAAGAGTGTAAATTACTTTCAAGATCAATGATCTCTCTGGAATTGTAATCTCTGTGATCGAGTGCTAATCTAATCAACGCTTGACATTGTTTTACCGCTGTGTAGGACAGAAATCGGAAGCAAATAGCAACGTTTTTTTTTCCACAAAGGTGTTACCTGGCGATGAGGGGTAGCAGGTGGGAGGAGGGGAAGGGGTACCTTTAAAGGGTGGGTGGGTGTTGGAAAGGTGAGAGCAAGGCTAATAACAATAACTGTAGTGGCTGGCACAGTGACACACTGACATATGAAAACCTGTACCACAGAGAGAATCTACAGCTGTTTATCAATTGGAGTGTTCACACACACCCTAGCTATGAGGAATGATAGAGATACCAGTTTTGTAAATGAAAACCCAGCCTCAAGGTCACCCGCCACTGTCTGTTACAACAACAACAACAACACCCATCCCCCTCTTCATCCACTCGGTGAAAATTTGCATAAGTGAAATATTTTCATTAGCATTATTTACAGTGTCAGCAGGGGGGAATTAACTATTTATTAGAATAAACAACAAACGGCTGTCAGGTTTCTCTCATATCATAGTTTCAAAGTTCTCACTTTACCCGGTTTTTTGTTTTTGTGTTTTTCTCTATGATGGATCATCATCATCATTTAAATACAAGGCGAGTTTCCGGTAGATGAAAAATAGGGGAGAAGTGTAAATAATATAACAGTACTTATAATAATGGACAAAAAAGAGGGTGTTGGTGAGAGGTTTTTTGAAAGGAAATGTTATATGTGCACAGAATTTTAATTATCATTTAAAAAAAACTTATAATATGCAGTTACAGTGGTTACATAAAGACAAAAAGACAAAAAGATTTATTGTAGGGTGATTTTTTATTACTAAGAAGTGCAAAGATTTGAATTGAAAGACTTTGATTTATTATATTCATTTAAATTTACTTTAAAGGGAATATAAATAAACAATATTCCCTTGACTTTAAAATGGTTTCAATTTTAACTACTTGAACATCATCTTTAGCAGTCTATATATCATATCTATATATTCAGATCCTATTTATTTTAGTTATTAATTAATAATAAATTAAGTGATTATTATTGTTTTTACAAAATGATCTATTAATTCTCACTTTGTTATATTTCCTAGGCACACAAATACAATGTCTATATATAGCCTAGTCATAACTCGTTTAGTTTCCTATTATTCCAGTTCGAAAACAATTTCAATAATAATAAGTTGTAGTTTGAATACAACTTCAATAAAAAGTAGTAGTAGTAGTTATAACTATAGATTATATGCATTTTACAATAATATGGTAACAAGCAAATACTGAATGTGAAAACCTGATGCATTTTTTAAGAGAAACATGCGAGTTTTTTAAACGGAAGTCCCCCTTAGAGACCACAATTGCCTTCAATTACACTTAACTCGAGGGTATTACAATTTACATGGGTGACCTCTATATAAGTCGAACCCCTTTTTAAGCCCCCAACTAATAGGTCATGGTTTTTTGTTTTGCTTGCTTTATTGCAGAGCTTCCGGTTTGGAACTATGATGGCAGCTCGTGCTATCAGGCCGAGGGCTCCAACTCGGACACCTATCTGTATCCGGTGGCCATCTACAAGGATCCCTTCCGTCGCGGCAACAACATCCTGGTGATGTGCGACACCTACAAGTTCGATGGTACTCCCACGGATACCAATAAGCGCAAGACCTGCCTGGAGGTGGCCAACAAGTGTCTGGATGCAGAGCCCTGGTTCGGCATTGAGCAGGAGTACACTTTCCTTGATTTCGATGGTCATCCACTGGGCTGGCCCAAGAATGGTTTCCCAGGACCCCAGGGACCCTACTATTGCGGTGTGGGTGCCAACAAGGTGAGTTTTAGCGATGGTTTTAAGAATATTTTTCGATAGATTTTCAAAGGATTTTCGATATGTTTTCGATATTTGCATTTGACAGAAAGAAATACTTTATTTATAGGGTTTTTGGTATATGTAGAGATTAATAATGGGTTATGGATTTTAATAGGATGTTCTGAACTTATATTTAATATATATATTTATGTGCCTTTAAGGATCGGTGTTAGTTTAAGAAGAGATGCTAGTGTATGCTGTTATTATATCGATAACTATCACTGCAGAGATATCTTTTTTAATATCTGTATACCAATAGAAAAGTATTTTATATGAAAAGTTTGAGAATACTTGAATATAACAAAAAAAGAAATTGGAATAAGATAGTGTAGCTTTATAATTAAACATTTGATTTCGATTATTTATCGAACATTATAAGGATAAATGTCACTGTAACCGATATTCTGCTATATGAAAGCTTATTTTTGATAAATTTTTTACCTTTTTTTAGGTTTATGCCCGCGACATTGTGGATGCCCATTACCGCGCCTGCCTGTATGCCGGCATCAAGGTTTCCGGCACCAATGCCGAAGTGATGCCCGCCCAGTGGGAATTCCAGGTGGGACCCTGTGTGGGAATCTCCATTGGTGATGACCTTTGGATGGCCCGATTCCTGCTGCATCGTATTTCTGAGGAGTTTGGTGTAAGTTTTGAGATCTCTTGCTCCTTAAACTTGTGAAATTCAGTATTTAAATTATTTAAAAATGTATATTAACTTACAGATTGTGTCCACTCTGGACCCCAAGCCCATGCCTGGTGACTGGAACGGCGCTGGTGCCCACACCAATGTCTCCACGAAGGCAATGCGCGAGGATGGCGGCATTCGGGATATTGAGAAGGCTGTGGCCAAGCTATCCAAGTGCCATGAGCGTCACATTCGTGCCTATGATCCCAAGCAGGGTCAGGATAATGCCCGTCGTCTCACCGGCAAGCATGAGACGAGCTCCATCAATGACTTCAGTGCCGGAGTGGCCAATCGTGGATGCAGCATACGTATTCCACGTGGTGTCAATGATGATGGCAAGGGTTACTTTGAGGATCGTCGGCCCAGCTCTAATTGCGATCCGTACTCCGTGGTGGAGGCCATCTTGCGCACCATTTGCCTGGATGAATAAGCGGGAGGCATTTCCGCTTCCGCTGCGAAACATTTGTTATCGATTTATCGATTGTTGTTAAAACAGACACACCTTGGAACCATTTGACCCGTCGTCACTGATTACCCGAACATCGAAACCCGAACAACACCCGAAGTTATACGAAGCATTATGTAGGCTTAGAATTTAGACGTAATTAAAGCTCGCACTCAAGTTTACCTAATAACGTATTTCCCCCCCGAGAAAAGCCAGAAAAGTAGACACCAGAATGAATGAATGAAATATTTTAAGGCAGCCCCTCGTCTTGCTGATATTTTTTTATATATTTGTGTTTTTTCAGCTGCTGTTATTTAGGTTTTAATGAGGTTTTTTTTTGTTTTTTTTACTGATCCTCAGGGATCAGACATTATGTAAGAAGAGCAAGAACCCAAAAAGACATCCCCCCTACAAAATAAAGAAGACAAAGCTCTAGTATCAAATCACTCCTGTAAGACCCAGAAAACAAATCCCTACCCATGTATTTCTTAATGATATTAAATAATTAACTTTAATCCTAAACTATATATACATACTATATACTCTTTAGTTAAATAAATGCACTAAAAAATAAACAAAAAAATATATACAAAAAAAAATTTGTTTTATTAATAACTTGGGATACTTTATGGAACTAATTAAACAGATTAACTTATAGGGAAAACTATTTTTCTTTAAAGATATAAGGTTTATATAACAAATAAAACAATTACACGGTACCCAATTTAAAAAAAGCATGGAAAAGTATAATTTAATTTAATTTGATAAAATTTAAGTTTAAATTTATACAAACTTAAATTAAAAATATCGAAAGGCATTCGAATATGTTGACAAGGTTGAAGAGAAATGTTTACAACTGCTAGGAACATATTGCGCAACAGCCAAATAACAACAAATGCTGCTATCCAAATGTTGAGCAACACCCTTTGGTACCCTAAAGGTACAGGGCATAATAATATATAACTTTAACGTTTAAATTGCTTCTTTCATTACTTATTAAATATTTATTTATTTTTTTTATTTTAATTATTTCTTACGCCGCTAGCACGTCTGGGTTTGCTTTTGTATACACAAATATACTGTATAAATAATGCATATATATTTAATTAATCTGAAATGCAAGTGTTAGGGTTATCAACGATTACATTTAAACCGATAAGCTGCAATTATATATATATAATTAATTGAGTATGAATTAGATTCTGGTTTGATCTCTCAATGAGCGATTATAAAAGATTAAATTGAACTAATATATAAAGTTCATTGAGATAATTAGTAAGTAATATATTAGAAAAAAATGAAATATGAATTAGTACAATTTCAAAGCTAAGTCCTATGTAAATGCTTTACACAAAGTATATATAAAAAATATATATAATATAATAAATAATAATATATAATATAAATCTGAGTATATTCATTTTTCCCTTAATCTTTCATTTAATCACAGTTTTCTGAAAAATTAATCTTTAATAAGCTTAGTAATAATCGTAATTCATAAATAATAAAAACGAAGGCTGTGAAATTGTTTTATTTGCAACCAAGTAAAATTTATTGTGTGTGCTTACTAATTAATTGGCTTCAAAGAATTGAGATTGGGTCAACAAATCATTATCGTTCGTGTCCCAAAAGTTCATTGCCATCCAGGTTCGCACGTTTAATTTATAAATCAAAGGAAATATTTTCACAATATCAAGTATTTATCAAGCAGACAAGGGAAAGTATACTGTAATTAGCTCTCAAATCAAGGGTTCAATATTCCCAATGAATCACTTGCAGTGAGTTTAAATTGTTTGAACTGTAATTTGCACAGGTTTCCCAACACATATTAGGTAAATCTATTAGCAACAAGTATAAATATAAATATTTGCCAGACAAGTCTAGACTTTATGGCCTAAAAAGAATTGTTAATATAAATATTGAAACGTTTAACTTGCACTTTCATTTCCTCAAGTAAAAGGCAATTAATTCAAGGCAATAATGCTCCAGAAAATGTTAATAAATACGCTGAAATAGTCTGCTTAATAAATCCCAAAAAATAATATACAACTTTTTGATTTGCTTTTCATTTTTATTTATTTAATACTACAAATTGTTGTAACTTTGATTTCATTTTGTATGCATATCCGTTGAATTTTTGTATTGATTTTGTATATTAAGTTGAATTTTACCTTTCCAGCTCTTTCTTTGCGTTTTCAATATTTCAGTTTTATCGTTATATTGATATAGGTAGGTAGGTATATATGTATACATTTTGTTTCTCTTTGTGTGTCTGTGTAAATGTAATGTATTTAACACTATTTGTGGTTTTATTTTGCCAACTACATACATTTCATTTCATTTGTGATTCAGAATTTTGTTTACTTGGATTTACATATATATTTCTCTCGGGCGTCACTCAGTTTTACAATAATTAATGGTCAACAATCGGTGAAACGAAAAAAATCACAATAAATAAGTGCAAATAAACGGGAAGCTGCGATTGCGATTTTTTAAATTTATAAACCAAAGAAGTATTTTAACAATTCACAAGCATTTATCAAGCTGACAAGGGAAATTACATCGAAATAAGATCTCTTAACATTATTTTCGATTTTATTATTTAAGAGAGCTTAAATTTTGTTGAACAGAAATTCGCACAGTTTTTCCTCTACATAAATATCCTTTACAAACATTTATCGCAAAATATATAAATGGGGAGGGGGGCTTAGACTCATATTAACTAGTTTAATAATATATCGTTTAATTTGTGCTTTCGCTTGCCATAACATAAGTAATACGCAATTAATTCTAGAGTCGCCAATAATATCGCATTGCTCTATCCCGGTCTCCTCTGCGGCTGATGGGGAAATTTATTGACTTTGGGGAATGTGTTTATTTTTTTATATTTAAATATGTTTAAATATAATAGTCTGTCAACTGCAGAGCTGATCGTTAATAATACTGCCCCACCAGCCTTCTTTTAAGGACAGTTAATGGTTGTTTGCCGCAGAAATATACATATAACATATATTGTACATTTGCATAAATCGTTAATTAATGTTAATGTATTAGTCGCGTTTGAACATAAAATTCGAATTGTTCTGCGATACACAAATACTTAAAGTTAACATAGCAAAAAGTTTTTGTAACATCATTCTTCAGCATTTTTTTCTTACACGCTACGAAATAAACACATTATATCGATTTGTTGTCTGTTTGGAATTACACAAATTAAGTTAATTAATAAATCTAAACACTGAGGACGTCATGCGTTGGAAGATTAACAAATGATAATAAAAACTTGATATAAAGTATACAAAAAAAAAAATATTTATATATTGCACATGAAAAACAACAGTTTAAACTGAATGAATAAATTGTTTTAATCGTAAATCGTTAATCGTTTATCATTAATCGCATCTCGTTCGATTGCTTGATATCGATTTTCGTGTCAAGCTGCCCGAATATGAGTAAAAAGGAACCATATACATTTATAAATCATATTTATGTTGTTTTTTGTTTTGCTTCCAAGTTGAATATCGTGAGTAGTGCATGAATATCGTAGATCGCTATCTTAATATCGTTCTTAAATGGAGTTCCGTGATTCTTTCACATATCGTTTTTAACTATTTTAAATAGTTGTATTATTATTTTCTTTTTGTTTTGTTTCCTCAGTTTCTGATGCTGCATATTTATTTTGCATTTGGCAACGCTTTTGTTACTTTGTTACTTTCGCACTTGGTATTTTTTTTTAATTTTTGTTATTATAAATCGTGTTTGTGTTTTAAGATTGGTTTAGCTTATTGGCTTTTACGAGTTACAAAATTCATTCAAGTGTTATTAAATATATATTCAACCTACTGGGAGGAAATTAAAATCAAAAACGTAAGAAGGTGTACATATTATTCTTGTTAAAAATCTGATATTGATTGATTTTAAAAACGTTTTCTTTAACATTTTCTTTTTGTTTTTTTGATGCGCTTAAAACTTACACTTAAAGTGACTCGTGGGTTGGGAATGGGTTTCGGGATGGGGTTTTTCTCTTTTGGGTTTATATAAAATTCATTGCATTGCCTATGTGCTACAATCTAAGGTGATCGCCAAAATACTCTTCTAAGTCGCCTAATCGCATCATGGAAACAGTTGCCTCTTCTTATCGATAAATATACAAAATAAGTGAAATATTTGAGTCGAAAATTTATTTTAAACCGTTGAGATTTGCAAAATTTGAGGGTTTTTATGGAAATTCGAATTGAAAGCTTAAAGAAAGTGGTTGAAATACTGTAAATATCATTGATTATTTATACATTTTAAATCATTTTAATATATCTTCTCAAAAATTTGCTTAATCGGTTAAAACTAACCTTAGGACTAAGCGAATAAAGGGTTCTTTAAAACACAAAAACTGGAAGACTATATTCCTTATAAAAAAACATATATTGACAAGAAAATACGGAAGTATCTGCTTATTGGTATTAATATTTAATTCGCGTCTCTAAAAGTAATCAGTAAAAATTGTTAAACATTAATCGAATTTAACTTTAAGAACTTCAACTTCCACAAAACTAGCAACAAATTTCGCAAATCGGTTTAAATATTTTTTCAATGCAAACAAAAATATAATAATATATATATTCAAATATATATATATTACCACTTTCACTGATTTTTCAACTCATTTCTTAGCCACAATATCGTTTTGATTAGGTTTTAAAATAAATAAATATGAGTGTTTTTTGATTTTGTAAAACTTAACAGAAATAAAATTATTGCAAAAAAAATATTTATATATATTAAAAATTAAATACGGGAATTAAACAGATTATAAGACATAAATAATATTGTAATGGGTTTGCAACTACTACTTCCTCTCCATTTCCATCTTAAACATTTACTTCCTGTTTCCGATGTCGCTGTCGCTGATCCGTAATCACATATATATATCCCTCGATGTATATATAGATAGAGTTAGGTTATGTGGACAGCTCCGTGCTGCCACGCCTCACCATATTCAGATCGTTGAAATCGATCTCCGTGGACTCGATCGATTGTATCGATGACGAACTGCGCAATTTGGTGCCGGGAAATTTGCCACGACTCTTCAGTGCCGTCAGCTATATATATTTAAATTACAAAAAAAGCGCATTATTAGTAATGATACTTGGAAATAATTTAGATAATATATAATATAAAATAATACTATAGATATATTTATATATATAATTAGATATATCTAAGAACGATTTCAACAACAAATGTACAAGGCCAAAATGTAGAAACTTTATTAAAAATTAGTCATGCGAGGATTTTAAAGGGAAATCGAAGAAAACTCAAATTTTAATGAATTATTTTTGCTTAATTTTGATGATTTGAAATTACTTTTAAAAAAATTTTAAGCCCAATTTTAAAGCTAATATAAAGTAAATAAAATATTAAAAAGAGTTATGAAAGTTTTTCAATATTTTGAGATTTTTTTTAAACAGAAAGCAAAAAAACTGTATAAACAACTTATTATGAAATAAATTATTTCAGCCTTGTTATACATACACAACTTCATTTACATTAAAATTTAAAACGTGCCTTAAATATCTTATAAATTAAGTGATTAATTGCTTTGAATATGTCAGTTAAGGCTAAGGCCAAGGCATGCAAGCGTGCAGAAGAATAATAATAATATTAATACAAAAAACAAAAACACTCCCTCTTAATATTCGCATAGCTACTATTTAGCATATACTATATAGTATTTAATTTTATAGCGAGGCTGAAAAACAAACTCGTGTCAAAACACAGCATCAATTGCTGTCAGCAGATCATGTCAATTTTTGATGTCTTGACAATGACCAATGTTCATAATACAAACAACACCGAAAGTCGATTAAATTCAGGTTAAAACTATTTAAGTTGGATGCAATAGGTTATAATTCTACAGGGAATCTTAAACAAAAAAATATGCTTCACTTACTACATTTCATAAGAAATTAAATAAATAATAAATAAAGACAGTTTAGTTCATATTTTCATTCAAAATAGGGATTGTTGTTCATTTAAATAATATTTATTAGAGTTTATACGTTTTCTTTAGACTCTTCAAAAAAATTAAATAGGTACAAATATATACCTTTAAAATTAAAAGAGATCCAAATCTATCATTAGTTTTTTTTTTACCTTAGTTTGAAAAACTTTTACTGATAAGTTATAGATAGATTACAACTTAATTCTAACAGAGGTTCGAATATTAGCTGAAAGCTCTTTTTAAGTTTATCTACACTAATCAGCAAATTTCGAATTAAATACATTTAGAAAGAATATATTCTGAATATAACGATTTTTGATTTAAATTCTGAAAAGCTATAAATAATAAAATAAATATTAAAAATAAGTAAATATTCTTTGTATATTTCTAAACTCTTTTCTTTTTAACATAACCTAATTAATTTAAAGCTAAAATTCATGCGAATTCATGCTATTTAGAAATGGAAATGGGATTTAAAGAAGACTCTATAGACCATGCAAACTATAGGCAGTATTTTTTGGGCAGGAAAAACTCTACAAATACGCTTTAATTAAGAATACCGAAAATGTTTTTTAAAGTTTTTATAATCTTATAGAGACCTGAATGTAGTTTGAAGCTTTGGCCTGCTGCTTGAGGTTGGGGTTTAAATATGTTTATTCGGGAATTGAGATTAGAGGAGAGGTTTTACTTTTACTTTTTCTGGGTGTTTGTAATTCGGTAATTTCTTTGTATTTGATTTTGAATTTGTAATATTTTTGTTTCATAAATTAATGCTTGTTTTTGTTTAGATTTCATTGAATAGTTTTTCATTTGGTTTTTTTAATTTTGTTTGTTTTGGGTTGTGTTAAGATTAGTTTAGCTTATCCATTTCCACGGCTCAGTGTCGGGGCTGGTTATTGGCGTGGGATACTATATATATTTATAGCAAAACCAAAAAACAACGCATATTGTTTGGTTTTTAATTTCGTGTGAGAAAGAAAATGCAATGAGAAATACATACAAGATTATTATCTTGGCTTTACAATGTGATTAAAAAGAAACATTTAACCAAACAAAAAATATTTTGAAAATCACAGAAAAGCTTTAGCAAACTGAAAATATTTTGGAATTATGCCACAACAGATAGCGTAAGAGATTTAAAAATGTGTGCTTTTGCTTTGTTAAAACCTGGCTTACTTTTGGAGCCTAAAATTTTATGTATTATTCATTTGTATAAATTAACTTTAAAAAATTACAAAGAACTTTAAGAACTTTGTTTCTTTGACCTTATAATATATAAGATGAATAACGCCCTTATATTTTAAGTATTATATTATTAAGGTTTTAGTTATCGTAAAGATTATAAGGTCATTTTATCTAGCAAATGTGACTTTTTAGAAAGTTTTTCTGTCTTCTTTATATTTTAATGTAAGCAAGCGCCAGTATTTATTAATGAAAAGTAATTATAAGCCTGCATGTAACATTTTTAAGTAGCAGTATTTTGAAATAATGAATACCAGTTTCGAATTCTCGGAATTTAGGTGATTTTAGTGTGAAATGTGATCAGTGCAAGGGAATTATTTTTGAAGAAATGCTAGTTCTGCTGCTGGCATTGGATTAAATATAAAACTAAAAACTTTTAACTTAAAATATAACCGAAACCGAAAAGCAAAGGCTTGATTTGTGCTTTATATGACAGAAATAAATATTTTGCCTGTCCTTACCTCCGCCTTCATGTCGGCCAGCCTGTCCTGCAGGTCGCGCACCTTATCCGAGTCATCAAGATTGGCACGCAGTTCCCCCTCGGCGAGCATTTCCGAGTTCTAAAAATAAAATAAATAAATAAATTAAGGTAACTATATAATAGGTATAAATACACAATTCGAACCTTGGTCTCCAGACGTGAAATTTCCTGTTTCAGTTCGGCCACCGTTTGGCTTTGCTCGGTGAATTTAATTTTCACATTCATTAGCTCATCCTTCATGCGAGATTCCAGATCCGAGTATCTACAAACATCGTAAAAAGCTATAATAAATATGTTTCTAAATAAAAATTAATATAAATCACACCTGTGTTGCTGTTCGCGTGCCTTATTGGCCATATCCTTCTCCCTGGTAACGGCCATTTCGAGCTCTTCCTTGAGCTTCTTGTGCTCCTCATCCTGTCGCCTCAGCTGATTGGTGGACACCTGAACCTGCGTCTCCAGCTCCATTACCTTAAGGCGCAGCTCCTTGAGCTCGGTGAGTGTCTCCATCTCTCGAATGCGTGTCGTCATCAGCTCCTCCTCGAGCTTCTGTGTATGCTCACTGCTCTTGGAGCTATCAAAGAAGTTCGTTAGCAGTTTTTTGGGTGTGGAATCCACCGCATTGGTGGTGCGTTCGGTTTCGCTGCGCTGATTCTCGGCCAACTGACGCTGCCATTGGGTGCTCAGCTCCTGGACCCGCTGCTTGAGATCCTTCAGTGAGAGCGATGCCTCCGCCTCACGCAATTTACTGGCAATCAGTTCGTCCTGCAAATGGGCCACCGAATTATCGGGCGTCGTCTCCCGCAGCGTTTTCTTGTCCTCCTCCAGCTCCTCCACCTTGGCCTTGAGGTTACGTATCTGATCCTCGCTCTCGGCGAGTCCTTGGCGCACCTTAACGAGCTCTTCCAGCAGACAGGAGACCATCTCATCGCGCTGCTTGAGAGCCTCTTCCTTCATGCAGAGCTCATCAATGGATGACTGACGAGAGTTGTTCTATATTTTTGAAAAATTTAATAAGAAATTAGTTTTTCATTTGGACAAAGATAAATATTTTGTAATTGATTATTTGGGCAAGCAGAGTATGTTTTTGTGTGGTTAGTAGCTAAAATACAAATGATTACAAAAGCTTATTATTATAAAGATGCATTTGTAAATTAAAGAAAACGTTTTAAAGAGCTAAAAAGTAATTGTTAAAATAAATATTTGTATATTATTTGTAGTAAAAGTTAATTAGCTTAATGGGTAAATGTATATTAAAAAATAAAAGTAGTGTTATTGATTTAATGTTTACAAACTTATGGGTATAAATATATTTTTACTACTATTAATTAAGTAAAAATACTATTTTCGATGGTTGAAATATCAAAAACATATGAATATGAATACTTAAAATATATTTAATATATGAATCGATATATTTTAATGTTGTATTTTATTTTTTGAATAGATAAATGAATATATTTCAAAACAAGACAATAAAAACGTGCAAAAACTGTACATTTAATTAAAAAATAAAGACTACAAACCATAGTCACAAGAATTGTACTTACGCTGTCGATGGACACATTCTGTTTTTTTAAGCATTTTTTTTTTTTGTATTTTATTTTATATATTTTTTTGTATGTATTAAAGCGATATGTATGGATGTGTTTTGTGTGTAATTTGAAGCACCACAACCATAGAAATCAAATAAATAGAAAAGAATATATGTAGAAGATTAGCAACAGATTCAATTTTAGTTACAGGACAAGGACAAGGGGCATGGGATTAATAATTAAAATACTCACATTCTCCTGTAGTCGAAGACTAAGACCACGAACCTCCTCGTTGGCATTCTCTAGATGATGGGATACCTCCAGGTAGGAGCGTCGCAGCTGCATCAGTTCCGTCTGAATGGCAAAGCTGGGAAAATCAGAAGATTTAGAAATTATTTAATTTCTTTAAAGTGTTAATTCTTACCTAGTTTCCTCCTCCTCGGCCCTGGAAACCTGTCCACGCACCAAACGATCCGCCAATTCTGCACTCTCGGCCTCCAGCAGCTCATTTCGCTGCTTCAGCAGGCAATTCTCCCGTCTCAGACGCCTGAGTTCCGCCATTTCCTCCTGCTCCTTCTTCTTGAGATCCTGATACTCCTTCTCCATTTTCTTCATTCGCTTGCTATTCAACTTGATGGAATAGGCCAAGTTGAAGAAACCCTCTACGTCCGCTTCAACTCGACCTGGTAGCTCCTTTTGGAAGAACTTTAGCATGGCCTCCATGTCCAAGCAGAGCAGCGTCTCCTTTCCGGTTAGAAGCAAGGCCAATGCCACTTTGAAAATAAATTCCATGCCCTCGCTAAGGAATACATCCATAATGCGGCAACTGAGATTCACATTCAATGTTGTGGTATACAGGGTGAGGAACCAGCTGGAGGCATACATGGTCGTCTGGAAGCCCTGCTGCTGGAAGTGTATATGCATATCGGGTATCTGCTCCTGCACCAAACTCTCCAACTGATACATGCACAATCCCAGCTCCGACATCGATGGCTTGAACATGTGACGCATCCGATGCTGTTGCATTATCTGAACCAGCACGGCAAAGGCCTCCTCCTCGGGCATTTGCATGAGGAGTAAGCCAACGATAAAGCCAGATCCTTGACAATAGCCAACCTCACGATCGTGCAGGGAATATGCCTTGATCACATTGAACAGGGCCTCCTGCCCGGGTCCATCCTTCTCCTTGAAGAAATCCACCTCGGGATAGGTGCGTGCAATATCCCGTCGGATCACCTTCTCACAAGCACTGGTCGCCTTAATATATTCAGCATACTGCTTCTTGTCAGCTTCGGCAGCTCCACTTAATTGTTGCCAAACAATTGCCCGGAAATGATGCGGAATACCACGACGAACTAGTTCACTCACACAGGGATTCTTGCGCTTGAGGGCGCCATCCCAGTCATACAAAATGGTGGCCCACGTCGTCCATACATCCTCCTCGGCCACCGAATTGCCGCCTTTAAAATAAAATTAAAGAAAAATAAGTACATATTTGGAATACAACATATTTTAAATAGTAAATAATTTAAAAAAGAACAAAGAGAGATGGCAACAAATATCGATAAAACTTATTGTATCGGAATTTATCGCTAAAGTCGATATACAAATCAATACTTTAATGATTCAAGAAATAAATATAATTTATATCTAAGAAAACAATTATCGAAAAAGAGTTACAATTACATAAAATATTCATCTTTTTTAAGGTTAAATGAGTTATTTTTCGATTTCTTTAAGTTAAAAGTGATGATTTTCAATATTTAAAAGTTCCATTAATCAAGGTTTTCCATATTTTCGATTTGACATTCAGCAGGATATCTTAGAATATATATTTATAGGTTTTTACTTTTATATATATTCCTAAAATGGCTAAATCGATTCGCCTGAAGATTCTGGTTCAGAACTGCCTCATTCCGCCTGTTTGAGTGTATTTTTGGTGAATTTAGAAAGTATTTCGAGAGTAATTTGAATGTATTTTGAGAGTACTTTCGTGAGGCGTTACGGATCTTATTTTTATAAGATCTACGCTTAAGAATTTAAATATTTTGTATGAATTTAATGAACAAAAAGAAGTTAAAAGATAACATAGCTATATATATATTGTATTGATAGTTGAAACACATCCCAAGTTCTTATTTAAATTTATAATTTAATGACTTTTGATAGTAACTTACTCGATGTGAGACTTATCTGACTCGTATCCGAGTTCTTGCGACTGTGCGTTGAGTGCAGAGAGTTAAGGGATTTGGCATCGCTCTCGATGAGCTTATTGGCCGCCTCCAACTTGGCCAGCAGATCCATCTCGGAAGTGGGAAGATTCTCTTCACCTGGAGGTACTGGATCGCCGCCCTTAACATCCATTTTTGCTTGGCTCTCGGCTGATGAGGCAGTGGTCGTTGTGGTCAGGGTCATTTTCTGCTGACAAAGAACCAGTCTCAGTCTATTACACCCAACCCGTGTCCCAAAACGAATCCCTTAGTCTTGCCTCCTAGATTTTCTAGGTCAAAGAGATTATCCAGCAAAGTATCCTTTCGTTTTTATTTACTTGAATGTAAATGTATCCTTTCTTCGCGTTCCTAAGACCGCCGCATATTGCTCCACATAATGCGCAGGTTCACAGATCACAGAACTGAAATAAATAAAATAAGTTACAATATTGAGCAACTAGATTAATATGTATTAATGTGGAACAAGAAGTAATCTGTAAAAATGTAATTACCACCGAAAGAGTGGAAGTTGTTACCGGATCTTGAGACAGCACCGGACAAATGAACCTTTTGCTCGAGATATGAACATGTGCCAGATACTCGTTCTACAAAATACAAAAATTATAAAACAAATAGTAGCGAGTGCAAAGCGAGTATATATATATTTTCAGTCTGTTTGCCAGCTTCTCTGTCCCTCTCTACTGTTATTGTTTTGTTTATAATTCGTGCGCCCTACAAAACTTGCGCTGAACTGAAACTGAAACTGAACAATAGCAAAAGCTGTCAGGGCTTTCTGTTGTCAATTTTTGCCTTGCTGGGTTTTTTCAACTCTGCCACCGGTAACAAAATTTACTTTCTTTTGACAATCAATTCCCATCAAGTAATTTAATTTTTAGCATAGAGATGATGAGGATTTTCATAATTAATTTGGAGTTTATTTATGTTTATTTGAACCAGATTAAAAAGGGATGCAGAAGAATGTAGCAATATATATCGAATGAAAAAGTTCAAGAAGGTGTATCGAAAATATCGAAAACTGATATTTTACATTAAAAAAGTATCGATAATATCAGAAAATAATATGTATAATATATTAATAACTTTTTGCTTATTCTTATGATTCAATATATAAAGAAGAAAGTTGATATAAGGCTTACATATCGCAAAGTTTGAAGAACGATAAATATATATCCACTTTAGCGATTATTATCGATATTTTCTATCATCTCTTAAGCTACTCCAGAAATGTTTTAAAAATTTTAAAGTTAACTAAAATAAATCTGTTATATTATTAATTTGTTTATTTAGAATAGCAACATTTAAAGATCATTTTATATACCAACTTCAAAGTAAAATATCGATATTTTCGATCCTTTCTAAACTTTAAAAACAATTGTTTTTCAAACTGAAATTAATTTCTGACAAGGAAGTATATTTTTTCTAGAGAATGTGTGACCTTCGTAGCTCCCCAAATGGCCTGAAAACAAAAGAGTTATCAATATAGAGAGAGCAAAAGATAGCAGAAGGAGGAAGAAAAACAATAATAGGCGCAGTATTAAATTGGCAATAATTAAACGATTCTGTTTCTTTTGTCACTCTCTCTCTCTCTCTCTCTCTCTTTTATTGATAACTTCTTCACACAAATCAATCAGTTCAGTGATGAAAGAACCCTTTATCTGTGAAGTTTTTTTCTTGGTGCAGTGAGTATAAAACCAAGAATTTCTTGGATTTTCTAATTATCTAAATCTTTTGTAAGAGTTATTTTCATGAATTAATATAAATAGATATAATAATTTATTGTTTTTCTTTCACGTATTCTAAGAATTACACTTTATCAATTTGTATTGCATCAAGCAAGAATCGTTTTCTAACTTTATCTAAGCAAAATATTTCAGGTTCTAGGGATTTATTGATAAGCAAATATGTCATCTATATAAATATGATGTATTATTTTTAAACGCAAGAAAATGTTTCAAAGAATTATGAAATAAATTATAATTTGAAGGGAAATGTAAAGACATTTTTACATATTTTTTTTAGAAATAGATGGTATTTTCTGTTATATTATAACGGATACATATTTAATATATCAATATTTCCTGTCTAAGATATAAATAAATATATATCGAGTACTGTGCCCCTACCTTTATCTCTTTGCATTCAAAATATTGCTCTTGCAACTGTTATTTCACTTCCAAACAATTGCGATTAAAAACCCAAACAAATTAAAATAATGTAATGTATGTAGGTCAAGAAACGATAAACCAAAACAACTAGAATAAAGAATCACTATGGGGAAGTGCATTGCATATATGTATATTCCATTTGTTTGAGTTTTACCCCTTTGTCAGACCTTAAAGTAATAAATAAACACTGAATATTTTCTAAGACAAATTACATTATAATTGCAAAGGCAAAGTGGGGAGTGTAATTCCATGGGTCTTGCCTATATGTCTTCTTCAATTAATTTTTGTTTTTGGTCTGATTCATGTACATTTATACGTAGGTGCGAACACGAAAAACCTTCCATGAATCACACATAGAAAGGTATTAAGCCCATTAAAAATTCCATTTTGACGTGTATTTTTTTTTACAAGGCGTAGCTTTCAATTTAAATTACAGTAAAACCAATAAAGACAGATATAAAGTACGTCAATAGGGTTCAAAATTAATGCGTAGTTAGGTGTGTTTTATTTTTAATAATATTAAATTATATTACGATGAAGTTTTAATGATTTTATATATAAATCATAAACATTTGCATGCTAAAAAATTACTAGAAATAAAAATAGCTCCAGTAGAACAGATCTAGAATACATATTTTGCTTAAAATTCACAAATCTATATTGGAAAAAATCTGTAACTGTTTATTTTCCGTATATCAGTGTAATAATTATTATTATTTTATATTGTTATTATTTTTTACAATTTATATTTCCTGATACCTCTTGAACAATAGACTTAACTGTCTTTTGTATGTGTCCAAGAATGTCCAACATATAAAATCAACACAATTTTTTTACAATCTTTATTCCTTTTACTGATATCAACAAACAGCTCGCAAGCAAATAAAAACCGAAATACACCAACAAAAAAAATATATATAATGTGTACTTGATTTGTACACCTGCTAGTGGCTAAGCGAAAAAATATTGAATTTAATTATTCCAAAGAAATCGCAATTTATTTACGATGAGCCCTTTAAACCAGAGATTGACAAGCCATATCAAAGTATACTATATATGTATATATATCACGTGTGAAAGAGTTCCACCGAAATGTTTATTTAGCTTTTCATATATTTTGTTTCTTTTTTTTTGGAAAAGCTTGTAGGTGACATTTTCTACGAACTCCAAGGGGTTATGGTATGAGTCATAATGTGGCACAGTTATCGTTAGGACAGCTGATAAGCGATAACATCGTTGGACCAACGTGACGTATGTGCAACAAGTGGAGAAACACTAGACTCACAACCCCATTAACACTCAATAGTATTACTCATTTATCCCACGCAATATTATTGATTACAAATAAAACAAAAGAGGGGGTTGAAAAAATGAGTAAATGATTGAATGAATGAAAGCCAAGTGTCGTCTATGCAAGCTAACTAATGCATTGTGGATATACTTGAATCTATTGCAAGTGGCAAGTGAGTGTACAGTGGGTACTCATAATAGAGAATACATATAGCCTAATACCAGGTTAATATCTTTTTTCACATCATGATGACAGAAAGTATTCTATATTTTAATCTAACAGGAAATAACAGAAAACAAGTATAGTAAAGTTGTGCTAATTAATGATATTTTTATGGTGAAAATGTATATCGATAGGAAATATCACACTTTAAAATCGATCTATAAAAAAGTAAATTTATATAAAAATAAAAATGTTAATAGACTTAATATAAATATAATATTTTTATATAAGTTGACTGTATTATAGATCGATAAAAAAATATGGTATTTAACGAGATTTAAAATGTCGGTATTAATATATCCGATTATTAATATCATATCGAAAATTTTGGTATATTGAAATTTAAAATATCGATAAATATCGAATTTTAAGTTAAAATATGGATATTATTAATTTTATGACCATTTTTCGAATTATATATATTCGATACACTAAGAAAAATATATATGTATTTATCGAACATAGGTATATCGCAATATCAAAATATCGATTTTTATATCGACTTTCTATTCAGTATTGATATATCGATATTTTTAGTTAATAATATCGACTGCCTACTGTTTTGCGTAAAGAACAAAAATATATATTAAAAAGAAAAACCTATCATTGCTCTTCCCCTCACAAAATGCAATGTCGAGCCGAAAGCTCTCGCCACAAGGTCAAAGGCGAAAATTATTCAATTGCAGCTCAAAAATACAAAAAAAAAATATTCGTAACCCACACAGAAAAGTACACTAAGAAAAAACAAGACACCGCCTACATTTTGTTTATTATTATTAGACAAACAAGAAAAATAGTAAATCGAAAAAAAGTAAATATATTTATATATATATATATGAGGGTTAAAAATAAAACTGTAACAGGTGGACAACAACTGGAAAAGATAAAGACACTGGAAAGGCAAAAGGCAGCGAGTAATATCTCATTAATACGATACGTGTTGATTAGATTTCGACACGAAAAAAAAACAAAAAAACAAAAAACAAAAGCAACAATTTGTATGTGGGGTGTATTTGGGGTGTGAGTGGGGTGTGTATATGGGGTGCGTATGTGTATGTCTGTGAAAGTAAAAAGCAAAGTCAAAAAGCAAAGCCAAAGCCAAAGCCAAAGCCAAAAGCAACAATGCAATCGTAAAGCCAAGTCTCCATTGAAAATAAGGTTAGTTCACCCGCGCGTTTCATAGTTTCAGTACGAATTGTCGTGTCAAGCGCACAGGAAGCGATCGCAACCCGGATCGGATTGGATCGTATCGGATCGTACATATATATAAATATATATATACTCAACGTCGGCGATCGCATGCGGACAAAAAGTTAAATGTAATGCCAGACGCACAATAATAATAATAATAATAGTAATTGGTAAAGTCATTTAGCTTCGTGAGCCCGGTTATTTATAAACAATAAAATTGGTCTATATAAAATGAACCTTAACTATATAGTATGCTGGTTTGCCTTAAAAACAAAATTATAACTAACTGAAAAGATCCCATAAAATAAATGATCAATCAATCAATCAAGAATTTGAAAATAAAATAAAATAAACAAAGACATACAAATGCTCTAATATTACAAATAAATAATATTTAAAGAAAATTAAAGAACTACAAAAATAATTTCAATAACAAACTCAAAAACCCTTTACAAAGCTTGGAACATTAACAAAATATATGCCATATATAAAAGTGGTTCAATAAATAAATTTTATAAACATTAAAACACTTTTTTTGCGTATATTTTTATTAAACTAATCATTAACCTATTAAAAAATGTCCTTTAAAAATATTGATTTCATATAAATCTTTAAAGATAATATAATAAATTAAATATAAAGATAAAGTCTAAATAGAGTACATTCTAAGTCTAAATTAATTCGGCTGATGATGCAAAAATATAAAAACCATTAAATGAGGCCAGAAAAAAACACATTTGCTTGGCAAACTTATGGTAGAAATCGGATACCCTGCAAGCTGCACATAAAATTAAACAAAACAGTTTCTAAACAACAAAAACAAATGTGTTGAGTTTGTGAACAAAGAAAATGAATTAGATTTTTTTTTACGCAAGAAAATAAAAATATAACAAAGGTTTGAAAAGGTTGACAAACTCCAGGAGCAGAAAAATAATACATTGATTTTTTTTAAGAATATACAAATGTGTTAAATTGTAAACAAAGAAAATTATACAAGTATAATATTTATTTTGTAATAAATATATATTTATAAATTAAAATTCAACAAAAAATTAAAAAGACCAAGTAAACTTTGTTAAAATAATTTTTTTTTTTAGTTTTATTGATGTTTTTTATTACTTTTACAACATTAAAGTGAACTCTCAACAAAACAGAAAGAGAAAAAAACCCAAAAAGTAACCGAATTTCCAAAAGCTTTGTATATTTCCACATAAATCGCACAAAGTAAAAGCAAACAAAAAATAATCACACATATAATAATTGACTTGAGCGAACAACGAAAAAAAAGAGCACACAACAAACCAGTTTTTTAACTCTAATTTCACAAAATACAAAAATAAAAAGGCTCCAAAAAGAGCAGCAAATCAAAATAAACGAGTTTCAAAGTTGGCAAATTACACATGTATATAAATATATATATCCATATAACACCTGATTACACCCTTATATATTCATGGTGCCTTGTGTGATTTGCTTATATTTTTTATTTTATTTTTTTTTGCATGTGAAGACAAGGTCAAAGACGTGCCAAAATCAGAGACAACCGAAGCTGAGGAAATATAAAACACAAAAATGACGGCCAAAACGGAGATTAATTTACTGGATCCGAATAGTCAGGAGCAGGAGCAAGTCACTACACCGGGAACATCCATATCCACAGCCTCCGAAGCGGAAATGGAAATTGAAACGGAAACGGAAACGGGAGTGTGTGCCAAGACCAATGAACTTAGCGAAATCTTCTTTGTGGATAATAATCGTAGAAAGCAGAGCATTAAAATCCAGGTTAAACTCTGTCCGGAGGGTGTCTATTTGCGACGTGAAACGGATGAAGATGATCATATCAATGAGCAGTTAATCAGGATCGATGATATCATTGGTTCCCGCTTTGGACCGCGTTTAAGGAAACGTGCCCGCGGTGGCCTCAACTCCTGCAAGAATCCCAATGTCCAAACGGAAGAGGCTTCACCGGAACCGGATAGTGATAATAGCGCCTATCTCTATATATATGCTTATTTGAAGAAGGAGAAACCCTTGAGGAGAGTTCAGACCCTCAGGATACTACGCTTTCGTTCTAGCCATGATTATGCAGTTAATTTAAACACTGCCGAACAATGGCATCGAACTATAAGGCAACATAAGAGAGGCAGTGCTGGATGCAGTGCCTCCAGTCACATTGGTGATTCCAGCAAACAATTACTGATACTCCTAAATCCCAAATCCGGTTCCGGCAAGGGGCGAGAGCTCTTTCAGAAGCAAGTGGCCCCGCTGCTCAGCGAGGCAGAGGTCCAATATGATTTACAAATAACCACACATCCGCAATATGCCAAGGAATTTGTACGAACTAGAAAGGATCTGCTGGAACGTTATTCTGGCATTGTGGTGGCCTCTGGCGATGGTCTCTTCTACGAGGTACTCAATGGTCTTATGGAACGCATGGATTGGAGAAGGGCTTGCAGGGAGCTACCCTTGGGCATTATACCCTGTGGCTCTGGCAATGGTTTGGCCAAAAGTGTAGCCCATCATTGCAATGAACCCTATGAACCCAAACCCATTCTACATGCCACTCTCACCTGCATTGCCGGCAAGAGCACACCCATGGATGTGGTTCGAGTTGAGATTGCAGCCAGGGATAAGCATTATGTAATGTATTCCTTTTTATCGGTGGGTTGGGGTCTTATAGCCGATATTGACATTGAAAGCGAACGCTTGAGATCAATTGGAGCCCAGAGATTTACCCTTTGGGCCATAAGACGTTTAATAACATTGAGGACATACAAGGGCAAGGTTTATTACCAATTGCCCAATAAAATAACTAAAGTGGAGCAGGCCAAGGAAGCCAAGGAAATAACTAAAAAATCTGCCAACTTTACACCCACTTCAAATGCTAATTCCAAGGCAGAAGCCAGTGAGTTTCATGATTTACCCGAGGAAGAGGAAGGGGAAGAGGATGCTGAACACTTCTCTGATGCCATATCCCTGGATAGATCTGTGTACCGACAAAATGCCGATAGCTGGCACTCGGCCATGTCAAGAAGAACCGCCTATTATTCGCTGGGTGGTCCCAGTCTTCGTTCAAATCGCAGTCGAATGAGTATAAATCAACGTATTGAGGCAGCAAATGCTGAATTTTCGGAATTGGTGCCATCGGGCACTATTCCCGGGTTGAATATGCCATTGGAGTCCAAGGATGGTTGGATCTGTGAGGAAGGTGACTTTGTGATGGTACATGCTGCCTATACCACACACTTGTCTTCGGATGTCTTCTTTGCCCCGGAATCCCGACTGAGCGATGGACTTATCTATCTGGTGATCATCCGTAGTGGAGTGAGTCGCCATCAATTGTTGAACTTTATGTTGAGTTTAAATACCGGCACCCATCTGCCCATCGGTGAGGATCCCTTCATCAAGGTGGTGGCCTGCAGAGCGTTCCGTATCGAACCCCAGACCTCCGATGGCATTCTGGTGGTCGATGGCGAACGTGTTGACTATGGACCCATTCAGGCGGAGGTAATGCCGGGTCTGATTAATGTAATGACCACCAATGGTCAGTGATTTTTATGGACTAAAGCTACATAAGTGGAACAGGTATATAGAAAAGTTATGTTTCCAAGTCATTAAATCATATAAAATATAGAAAAAAGACAACACCTAACAAAAGTATATATATGTAAATCGAGGAAAAAATTGGTATGGCGTTATACATATTATTGTTTGTATTGTCTCAAAAACGCTATATGTAAGATTGATTTTTTTAGAAAAAACTAACTATAAATAGTAATTAGAGAGACAAATTCCAGTGACAACATGTTTATAATTGTCTCAAAGAATGCTAAATTTAAGCTTGAATTTCTGTAGAAAAAGTACATGTAAATAGAAACAACAACAAACAATACAATATTATACAAAAAACATATTTTTAGAATTAATATTTTTTTCCTACATGTTTTTTGGGGTACCAGGTATCTCATAGTCGAGCACACTGAACTAAAGCTTTCTTATTTTATATAAATGCACCGATAATGGCCACTAAAATAATGTGATTAGAATAGTTTAATTACAAAAATTAAATCATATATAAATATAAAATATAATTAATTATAATTTTAGAATTTTAAATGTCCAAAATGACATTTAACATGGTATTATGATAATAGTAACCAAAATGCATATGAAAAATTACATCTTCAGGTAGTAAAGTTAACCCAGATCTTGCCCTATTAGTTTATATATAAAAATGTTATAAATAGGAAATTAATTGTAGTTTTTTTTTTAACTAGAGTTTACCCCATAGCTCTCATAGATCTAATACGCAATATATGTAAACTTTCCATCCAAAACCAAACAAATAGAACTTTACCAAGTATACTAGTTGGTTTTCTACAACATATATAAATATATATATAATTTTCTTTAATCGGCCAGTACGCCAAATAAAATCAATAAAAGCTATAAAAAAATGACTTTAGATTATGCGGGAGGGAACAAGTCTTAGTGGTATTTTTTTTTTTTTGTTATTTTGCAGGTGCTTTATTTGTAGCCGTGGAAACAAAACGATTTGACTTTGGAAAAGCTTAAAAAAATTCACTAAACATACAATAAACAGTATGTTCACTGGCTCATCCGGTTGCATGCCGATCTTTATCGATATCAGCCTTTAAAATGGGGCCTTGATTGGCCTCTAAAATAACCACCAACACAATCACGAGGAACCTACACCTGTGGTCGATGTTCAAGTGGGGACTTTAATAATTGTGTTAATACCGAACACTAGTCAAGATTGGCAAGATTAAATTGGAAAAATAAAGCTAACACTGCGAGGGATAACTTGACAACTTGTAGAATTAATGCAAAGTACAAGGTTCTTGAATTTGTTTAAAAATCTTACATAATTTTAAATATTTTATAAGTAATGGTATTAATCTTGTAACCTATACATTTTTTTATTTATTAACATTCAAAGCTGTCTACTTTATCAATATATAAACGTATTGTTAAGTTTTCCACACATTTAGGTGTCTAAAATACCATGGAATAAGAAATAAAATAAACTATGTACAAAACTACATAATTTTCCAGTTTTTAATTAAAATAAAAGGTAAAAGGTATAAAACAAATCACCTTTTGATTGGGATTATGTTTGACAGGTGCACTTTAAGGAAATACAAATAAAAATTCGCTCTCGTGATGACTGACATTCGGAAAGGGCAATAACTTCAATTGCAGCCAAAAGCAGTCCCGAAAAGCCATTAACAAAGGTAAACTGATTGTCACTATTGGAGCGCTATTTTCATTAATATTTTCTTTTTTTTACCTTTTCATACCGACAGACGAGTCTGGTGTGTATAGATAACAGCTTTAGGTCTTATCACTAGCACACACGCATGAGGATGTGGAAGTGTTTTGAATGGGCAACAAATTTGGTGCATACTTTTAGGCCCTGTTCGATATAAGTCCAAAGAAAATTGGAGATTATATGTCATGAAAAGTTATTGATGATAAAAATGAAAGATATATAATTTGAATTTAAAATGTATAGTCTTTGTAGTAAATAGATTAGTTTGTATAAAATTAGGAATTCGATTGCATTATATTATATTGTAATTTGTTGTCAATTGGGAACCTTGCAATATACACAAAAGTATAATTGAATGAATTAATTTATTTATTTCTACTGACTTAACTTTGTTTATTTTAAATCATTAAACAGTCCTCAGTTTTATTTAAATAAAAATTAGAATAAATAAATAATCAAGTAAGAAAATCTGACAAAACTTTTCAAACACAGAGTTATTTTCTTAATTCAATTAGAAATTTTAAAAAATTATAGAAAAACCTTCAATTTTTGTGTGAGCCAAGTTTAAAACCAAGGTATGAAACTCAACTAACCCCTGGAAGGGAGGCTGAGAGCGAGTGACAAGGATAGAGAGAATAATTTAATTATTTAAAAACAGCCATAAATATTATCCGATTATAGTCAAAACTTTCAAAGTACCTTATGGAGTAAAGAATTATTCTTCTGCCTATATCATATATAATCCAGGTTGTCTAGGTTATAATAAAAACCAAGGTTACTGAATCACTCTTTACTTATCACACACCATAATGAAGTTATTCAAGTTCTTGTGCAAATATTATTATTTCTAATTTAACAGAGGCTTTTTAAGTACTCAAATATACATCTGTACATACATATAATATTGTTCTGAATTGGCAATTCTCGACATTGTTTCGCTTTTCGCTATCAACTCAATGCGAAGATAATTGCGACAGAGAGAAATCAAGCGAAAATATAATACAAGCAAACAATGAATATATATACGTATAAATATATATATATATCACAGAGTAAAGATAACAAAAACTAATTGTGGTTACAGTCTGTTAACAGATGTTAACACTCTGTTGGCTCCCAATGTAAAGCTGCCTCCCTCTGTCATTAATTAATTAATGGACTCTTTAATTAAGCAATTTTTTAATGATAGAGCGCGGGTTGAGCTTATGAAATATATAATTTTTTGCCATGGTCTCTGGGCGTATACTATTAACTTTGGGTTCTAAGACCTCTTTAAATTATATGTACAGTGCAGAAACATTAAAACATACATATATGAAGTACATACTCATATCATGTGTGTGCTAGCAGATATTTCTGCACTATTTCCATACTAATTCATTCATAAAACTTCTCTTTACATTTTTTCTTTCTTTTTTTGTCTGAAGGCAGCGGCTTTTATGAGAATTTCAGGAAAATAAAAAAGAACTCGTTAACTCTTAAGCCTTTAACCATGAACACGAACGTATGTATATATATTTATATATTTGTACTCCAAAATCCAAGCCAAACAATAATTCCTATTATATTCAAGGGGTATTTTTAATCCGTTGAATCGCAGGTAAAAGTTTTCAAGCCCAATTTTGCTGTGACTAATACTCGGCATTTGAAATGTATAGCTTAAATATGCCAACAAAACTTGATTGGCCAAATATTCCTCTCACTTGAATATATTTATTTTATATGTATTTGTATTTAAATTCAACATAAGCTATTATTAGGGGATTGGAAGAAATTTCTTCAATTTGATAAAGAAACTGCATTTTAGGAGTGTCGAATATTAATTGAATTTTAATTCTTCATATGTTTTCCCTTTTAATTTTAATAATACTTATTTAAAGCAAATATCTTAACTTTATAGGGCCATTAAAAACCTTTTAATACAGCTCTGGAGTTTAGTAAAAAGTAATAAGATAGATAAATAATATAACTCGTCCAGTTTTTAACTGCTATCTTTTATTATAGAATTTCGTTTTAGTTTTATGAAAATCCCAATACTATATTATATAACTATGATCAGTAAGTATCTATGATCAGTAAGTAACTATGATCACGAAATAACAATGATCAGTAAGTATCTATGACCAGTAAGTATGTATGATCACTTACTAACTTTGAAACACTAATAAACAATGACTTGCAACTTTTGTAACACAACACATATCTGAGACTTGGTTGGCAGCAGTCACTTCGTTCCGGGGATGTTAGAACAAGTTGAGAATCATATACTTAGATGTGCGCAAGTAAATCTGAACACTAAGTAACTATGACCAGTAAGTAACTCTGAACACTGAGTAACTATGACCAGTAAGTTACTCTGAACACTAAGTAACTTTGACCAGTAAGTAACTCTGAACACTGAGTAACTATGTCCAGTAAGTAACTCTGAACACAAAGTAACTATGACCAGTAAGTTACTCTGAACACTAAGTAACTTTGACCAGTAAGTAACTCTGAACACTGAGTAACTATGTCCAGTAAGTAACTCTGAACACAAAGTAACTATGACCAGTAAGTAACTCTGATCAGTAAGTATCTATGTAAGTATGTGTGCATGATCACTTACTTACTTTGAAGCACTAATACACAATGACTTGCAACTTTTGTAACACAACACATATCTGAGACTTGGTTGGCAGCAGTCACTTCGTTCCGGGGATGTTAGAACCAGTTGAGAATCATATACTTAGATGTGCGCAAGTAAATCTGAACACTAAGTAACTATGACCAGTAAGTAACTCTGAACACTGAGTAACTATGACCAGTAAGTTACTCTGAACACTAAGTAACTTTGACCAGTAAGTAACTCTGAACACTGAGTAACTATGTCCAGTAAGTAACTCTGAACACAAAGTAACTATGACCAGTAAGTTACTCTGAACACTAAGTAACTTTGACCAGTAAGTAACTCTGAACACTGAGTAACTATGTCCAGTAAGTAACTCTGAACACAAAGTAACTATGACCAGTAAGTAACTCTGATCAGTAAGTATCTATGTAAGTATGTGTGCATGATCACTTACTTACTTTGAAGCACTAATACACAATGACTTGCAACTTTTGTAACACAACACATATCTGAGACTTGGTTGGCAGCAGTCACTTCGTTCCGGGGATGTTAGAACCAGTTGAGAATCATATACTTAGATGTGCGCAAGTAAATCTGAACACTAAGTAACTATGACCAGTTAGTAACTCTGAACACTAAGTAACTTTGACCAGTAAGTAACTCTGAACACTGAGTAACTATGTCCAGTAAGTAACTCTGAACACAAAGTAACTATGACCAGTAAGTAACTCTGATCAGTAAGTATCTATGTAAGTATGTGTGCATGATCACTTACTTACTTTGAAGCACTAATACACAATGACTTGCAACTTTTGTAACACAACACATATCTGAGACTTGGTTGGCAGCAGTCACTTCGTTCCGGGGATGTTAGAACCAGTTGGGAATCATATGCATGGATGTGCGAGATTTCTTTTGAAACAAATTGAAGCTATTTGAGTGAAACTATAGGGTTATTCCTCTCTGTAATTTCAGTGGTATATAATTCGGAGCATGGCGAATCGGTGGACCATATACATATATACATATGTATATACAGCTGCCATAGGATGGATCAGAAAATTTAAAGAAAAATAAGTTATAACTTTTCCCGTTTTCAAGAGATTTTTATCAAATTTTAATATAT